CGCAAAAATTACAAGACACTTTTGGTTTTTTCTTAAATACTTTTGGCAACCGTTCGCGGTCTCGGTCAAAATAGGACTGACTTCTTAATTCTAAATCTGATCCAAAGAACCTCGGCCATCAGTTGTGTTTAGATTAGAGGCTTAAGATGAAACTGTCGCATCTTATTGTGAAATTCGATTAAGCTGATCGATGCAATTTGGTGGGTACTTGAAACGCAAAAGGCGTAATTGATTGGGCTTCGGAGGGAAGCTGATGTTTACTTTTGATTTTGATTTGTTTATGGGGAACCGAGATCGCGCCTCAGAGCCAAAGACAAAGCCGAAGGCAAATGCAGAGTTTGAAAATATTGTTTATAAAATTCATAAGTGGAAAGCCATAAGTGGCCTGGATTTATGGGTTGGATAATTGAGCCAAAGATCAAGCCAAAGGCAAATGCAGAGATTGAAAATATTGTTTATAAAAGCCATATGTGGCCTGTATTTAGGGGTTGGATAACTTGCACACAGCCTATTTTCTGCTATTCGTTACTAACACTAATGCGTTAAAATCGTATCAATGTATTGGGGTGCCGACCACTGATATAGATATATTTTAAATTTTTTTCTAATGGTAGAAATGCCGCAAAGCATTATAATATTATATACTCATATAAGAGAACATGTTGTCGTGGTTGTATGCTTTTGGTAAATACTAAAATATAACACATAAACACTATTTCCACCATATGTGATAAAACTAAGACTGTAGGGAATAAAAGGGAGTTTAAGACTTGTTTTTCAGGTCTAAGCTTAAGAATCTAAAGCAGTGCACTATAGAAAATATGACCACTTTTTCTGGCTAACATTAATACCTTAAGAAAAAAAATATTTTAGTTCTGGTTATACCCTTGCAAAGGGTATTATAATTTTGGTCAAAAGTGTGAAACGCAGTGAAGGAGAGATCTTCGACCCTAAAAAGTATATATATTCTTGATCAAGATCACCTCCTGAGTTGATATGAGCATGTCCGTCTGTCCGTCTGTCTGTCTGTCCGTCTGTTTCTACGCAAACTAGTCTCTCAGTTTTAAAGCTATCAACTTTGCACTCTTTTCTTAGCACGCAGTATATAAGTCGGAACGACCGGGATCGGCCGACTATATCCTATAGCTGCCATATAACTGAACGATCGGAAATGACCCAACTCTTGTGTTTTTGAAGATAGAAAGCTAGAACTTAGTAAAGATATTTTTGGCCAGTTGATCCAACCTACCAAATTTCATAAGGATCGGCCGACTATATCCTATAGCTGCCATATTACTGAAAAATCGGAAATCACCTAACTTTCTTGTTTTTGAAGATAGAAAGCTGGAACTTAGTACAGATTATATTTTTGGTCAGTTGATCCGACCTACCAAATTTCATAACGATCGGACTATATCTTGTAGATTCCATATAACTGAACGATTGGAAATTCTTTTTGGTAGAAATACCAACATTGGTATTTTTGAAGATAGAAGCTTGGGACTTTTTTTTTTGGATATTTTATTGTAATTAATTGATTTTATTATGATATTCTCATAAGGACCGGCCCACTACACCCGAAGTTTGCGATATATATCCGGTTTTAACTGCAAGGGTATATTAACTTCGGCTCCGCCCGAAGTTAGCTTTCCTGTCTTGTTTTTGTGTTGAGTTCACATGGTCAATAGATTTAAGATTTAAAAAAAATTGTGGGCGGGCCACCGCCCACTTTTTAAGAAACACAATCTATCTAAGCCAGATATTTAGATTCTAGATTTAGATTGAGTTTATATGTTCAAAAGAACTCAGATTTAAACTCAATATGGGCGTGGCACCCCACCCTTTTTAAAAATCACATGCTAACTCAAAAACTAAGCAAGCTATTTAAATTTGTTTTTTTTTTATAGTGTTATATAAAGCAGGGATCGCACTATAGGAAATTTGACCACTTTTTCTGGCCAAAAACCATTTTTTGAAAGTTAAAAGATTAAAATAATTTTAACTGCATATCATTCACAATAGATTAATTTTTAATGTTGCATACCAGAAATTTTCATAGATGGCGCCACTGCGAAGAAATCAGCTGTTAAAAACAGCTGTTGATGTTAACATTTACATGAGCTTAGAGTTTACGATTTTTTGGTGCCATTTTAAAAACGCGAATACTGAAAATTTTATGGACAAAATCAAAAGTTTTGAAATGAATACTTTTCAATGTGGTTTGTATTATGTGTTCGTATATGTGAAGTGTCCAAAAAACTTGTGTTGTCTTTTTAATAAAGTGAAAATGTAAGTAGTCTAGCAAAAGAAATTTTTAGAAAAAAATCACATTTTTAAAAAGAGATTTAAACCAAGTCTGGCCGAGTCGGACAATGTAATTTAGTCCATGTTGTAGATTGTTTAATTTTCTTCAAATGAGTGAAATATGAATATGCCCTTTTATGCACTTTCGAAGAAATTCATAATTTAAGTAGGCAACCTCAATACCTTGAATGTAAATCTGTTAGCTGTGAGACTAGTGCAAAACCGAACAGTTAGCATGTTATTTTTAAATAGGGGGCGGTGCCACGCCCACAATTTTTTCTTTTCGGAGTTCTTTTGACCATATAAACTCAAATCAAAAATCAAAATTTAAATATCTTGCATAGTTTTTGAGTTAGAATGTGTTTCTTAAAAAGTGGGCGGTGCCACGCCCACATTTTTTTTAAATTTTAAATCTATTGACCATGTGAACTCAAATCAAAAATCAGAACTTAAATATTTTGTTTCGTTCTTGAGATATTATTTTTGGCCATAAAAAGTGGTCAAATTTCCTATAGTGGATCGGCACCCCAATACATTGATATGATTTTACCGCATTAGTGTTAGTAACGAATAGCAGAAAGTAGGCTGTGTGCATGACGTTTCACACATGTATACTGTGTGTGTGTGGAAGAGCTCGGGCAGAGAAATTTCCTAAGCCCCCGAGATAGGGCCGTGCCGACCTCTGATATAAAGCCATAGTCTTATTTTGAAGAAGAAACATTTTTTTAATTTAAATCGGTTTTGCTTTAGTCCAGGGGTGCCCAAGCTCAGCATACGGCAGAGAAAACTCCAATACCAGTGCAAAAAATCACCAATACACTTACACCATTTTTTTCATGTCGATGCACTGAAAAATAAAATTATAGTAACATTTAAAAGGGTTTTCAAATAAATATCATTATAATAAAAAATACATTTTATTATAGCAATTATAAATAGGCCCTCTATTTTTTACAACAGCTTATTATTATTAAGAGGAGCCCTAAATAAATAGGTCTTACTCCAATGAGTTCCTTTTGGAAACTGTTTTTATTCTCTACAATTCTCTTATAAGTAGGATACATGAAAATCTTAAATCTATTTAAAACTACTTATCAACACACTGCACGCTGACATGCTATACGACCCTTTCTCAAGTGTGATAAGTGCACCACTTATGTATGTGTTTGTGTTAGGCTGCAGGGGATCGGTTTTAGACCATGCTGTTTGTCTCTTATTTCATGGGTCCGATCCCTTGAAACTCTAACTTAAGAATTTGTACATAAAATAGTGTTCAATGCTTGAACAATTATACAATGCTAATGAATGCATAGTTTTTACTTAAAAAAATGTTCTGCGAAGAAGAAATTCATCGCTTCAAGTCGACCATTTTGGTCGATACAAAAACAAAAATGAATTTTTTCCAGTGAACAGTTTTCGGCAATCCAACAACAAAATGCATTCGGCACGATTGAGGAGAATAGGGAAAACACGAAAAATTTTTTTCGAAAGAGCAAAACATATGAAAGAGCAATTCCAACAAAGGAGCAACGAGAGCAATGGGGCGGGGCAGCCCTGCTTTAGTCTAACAGCAAACAGACACACATTAAAGCAGTGGTCGGCACTCCAATACATTGATATGATTTTAACGCATTAGTATTAGTAACGAATAGCAGAAAGTAGGCTGTGAGCATGACGTTTCACACATTTAAACTGTATGTGTGTGGCAGAGATCGGGCAGAGAAATTTTCTATGCCCTCGGGATAGGGCCGTGCCGACCACTGCAATAAAGGTTTCGAGGTTGCCTCCTTAAAATATGAAATTCCTCAAAGCGCATAAAAACGCACTTTCTTATTTTACTCATATAAAGGCAATTAAACAATCTACAATATAGAATGTGTTTCATTGATGGACTCGGCTGGACTTAGTTTAAATCTCTTTTTAAAAATGAGATTTAATTCTAAAAAATCGTTACATTTTCACTCTATTAAAAGGACAAAACAAGTTTTTTGGACATTTCACATTTCCTACACATAATAGTGGTTCTTATTCTTATTGAAAAGTATTCATTTAAAAAATTTTGTTTTGTTTATTAATTTTTCACTTATTGCGTTTTTAAAATATCACTTGAAATCTAAAATGCCAAGCTCATGTAAGCGTTAACTTCAACAGCTGTTTTTAAAAGCTGATTTCTTCGCAGTGGCGCCATCTATGAAAATGTCTGGTATGCAACTAAAAATTTATCTATATGCAGTTAAAGTTATTTGAATTCTTTAACTTTTAACAAATGATTTTTGGCCAAAAAAAGGGGTCAAATTTCCTAAAGTGCAGTGGTCGGCACGCCAATACATTGATATAATTTTTCATGCATTAATATTAGTTACGAACAGCAGAAAGTAGGCTGCGAACATGACGTTTCATACTTTTTTTACTGTGTGTGAGCGGCAGAGCTTGAGCAGAGAATTTTCCTATGCTCCTGGCATATAGCCCTGCAAACATCGAATAAAAATATGTAAAAAAGAATCTGAGAAATTATGTTCTTTCTATTTTATTTAAAAATTTATACATTGATAATTTTATGTAATTAAAGTTAAATCGATTGCTGTGCATAAACGGACCAAGCATTTTCAACAAAAATATTGATATCATTTAATGTCATTGTGGCATATGCATTTATTGACAAATTTTTGTTAACCCATTTCCCATCTTCTATTCAGGTTGGAAGCGGCTCAGGAAGTAGTGCTAGCAGAGCATCAACAGGACTCAACAGGCGGGGGGCACTTGGGTCGAAAGGGAGCCCATCGCTTAGCTGATAGAATGGGTGGCCCAAAAAAAGAGGAGAACCCACCAGGTGGTGGTCCGACGTCGTTATTTATCCTTACTGAGGATAACCCAATTAGGAAGTACACACGATTCATCATAGAATGGCCGCCCTTTGAATACGCTGTGTTATTGACAATCATAGCCAACTGTGTTGTGTTGGCACTGGAGGAGCACTTGCCCGGGGGCGACAAGACAGTGTTGGCTCAAAAATTGGTAAGACCTTGACAAAGTTTCCTCCCTGGATTCTTGCCGACTGTATCTTATCCGATTGTGTCTCTGCCTGTATCTTGAAACGATAGGAAAAAACGGAGGCCTATTTTTTATGCATTTTCTGTGTAGAAGCATCGCTCAAGATCCTCGCCTTAGGGCTTGTTCTGCATAAACACTCCTATCTCAGGAATATTTGGAACATCATGGATTTTTTCGTTGTAGTGACGGGGTAAATAATATATTTCCTTATTTTAAAATATTGTTTAAATGCACATTTTCGTTTTTAATTACATTTCTATTAATTTAAGCACGCAATGCAAGCTTAAATCTAAATACACACTCACATGTAAATTCAGATTTTTATAAATCCATGATTCTCAATCATTGGAGACATTACTATTTATTGTAAGATTAAGATAATAATGCATAATAACAGAATATAATATTTTAAGCGCCACTTTATCAGAGTAAACTTTAAGAAAAAAGCTACACAGATTGATGTAGCATCCGACCTATCTTACCAGAAGGGCTGGCAGAAAAGCTTTGGTTAAAACTAAGAAGCATATTTAACTTTATTAATAACCATTTCCTGTATTATAAATGGCTTCCCAAAAACCGTGATCCGATAACAGAGCCATGACGATATTTGCTGAGGCCAATATTGATGTTGACCTGCGTATGTTGCGGTCTTTTCGTGTATTACGTCCATTGAAGCTTGTATCCCGAATTCCAAGTAAGACATTAGTTATTTCTAAAAGACACTATGCCAGATCAGATATTAAACTAGAAACTACATATTTATCCTTAAATGTGCTTCTCATTTCAATTATATAAAATGGCATAGTTAGAAACTGATTAGGAAGCTATAATACGGAGTGAACGCGTACTAGAATAATTTTTAACCATTACAGATATATTTTCTTGTAGAAATTTCTGTATTTTCAAAAACATGTAAGAGTATGATTTCACAGTAATTTTTAATTTCATTTAAACATAGAGCGCATCAGTAGGATGCTATTGTAACATTTAATAAAATATAATACTGTTTTTTCCACGTTTTAAAAATACATTTATTGTGAAGCAGACACACCAACATTTACTCGTCTCACACTAACTAGAAGTTTAGTTTTTAATGAAGGATGTGACAAATGTGTCATAGTTTAATCTTATTTTAAGTCAGTATCTAAGGGGTTAGGTGACGAGGAGAATGGACTTTTCAATATTTTTAGTTGTATAATAAAGAATGAATTTAACTCAAAAAACGAATACATTATAACGCATTAAATAAAAGTAAATATGTCTAACCCCTTAACAAATTTAATGAAATTCTAATATGTAGCATTCTAATATGTAGTGGTCAAGCATTCAGTAGTTTTAGTCTTATATACAACAGAAATTTAAACAAGAAAGAAAAGCTAACTTTGGGCGGAGCCGAAGTTTATATACCCTTGCAGCTAAAACCGGATACATGTATATCGCAAACATCGGATATAGTTGGCCGATCCTTATGAGAATATGATAATATAACCAAATTTATTATAATATAAAATCTAAAAAAAAGTCCCAAACTTCTATCTTCAAAAATACCAAAGTTGGTATTTCTACCAAAACAAATTTCCGATCGTTCAGTTAAATGGCAGCTATAAGATATAGTCAGCCGGTCGTTATAAAATTTGGTAGGTCGGATTAACTGACCAAAAATATAATCTGTAGAAAGTTCCAGCTTTCTATCTTCAAAAACACAAAAGTTGGGTCAATTCCGATCGTTCAGTTACATGGCAGCTATAGGATATAGTCGGCCGATCCTTATAAAATTTGGCATGTCGTATTATTTTGCCAAAAATAGTCAAATTTGAACTCTCTAATCTAAAAACACCAAAGTTATTCAATTTCCGATCAATCAGTTATATGGCAGCTATAGGATATAGTCGGCCGATCCCGGTCGTTCCGACTTATATACTGCGTGCAAAGGAAAGAAAGGTGTGTGCAAAGTTTCAAGTCGATAGCTTTAAAACTGAGAGACTAGTTCGCGTAGAAACAGACAGACAGACGGACAGACAGACGGACATGCTCATATCAACTCAGGAGGTGATCCTGATCATGAATATATATACTTTATAGGGTTGGAGATGTCTTTTTCACTGCGTTGCACACTTTTGACCAAAATTATAATACCCTCTGCAAAGGTATAAAAATTATGTGAATAGAGTCCGAAGAATTGGAGGCGATTACATTTATTGAATTCCTTTGCAGCAGCTACCTTAGGTACGCCCCTAAGTCCCTGGACTTAATGCCGAATTCAATAGGTTGGAGGCCTGTATGGTTAACAAAATGATACTTCGAAGGTTATATTTAGACTCATTGGATCCGATAGATTATAACAAATTTAATTAGTTTGAACTTAGACCATTCAATTAAGTACAATTTTATAAATAATTTGTATTATTTGTCCGAAATTTTTAAAATTATTTTATACTAAGAAAAAATATAATATGGCAGAATTCTCTTTAAAGGTCTCGCAAAACTAGAATTTCGAATCGAAATTTGTATCATATAAGTATCTTTTCTTCAAACATCCTCTTATATCTAGAAAATTCTAGTTGGTGAATAGATTATATTTGCTCTTAACAATACTATATCCAGAACCCATGAGAGCAGATCTAAACTATTTTACGTTTTCGCTTGGGTATCCCATTGTGTGTGCGAAATATATGAATAATCGCCCTTAAACGTTAATGGATTATTCAAACTTCAGTTAAAAAACTTTATTTTATTTGCTATTTGCTTTCCATTGTGAAATTCAATTAAATATGCACAATTTAAAGTTTTTCGTTGTACATAATCATATATTTTTGTATTTATTATTGCATTAACATTAACATTTCTAACTATAATTGTGATTAATGGTATTATTTGAGTATTGCTAATCAATATTTAAATACATTTTAATCGCTTAACGTCTGCAAAAACAGATTCATGACACAGTACCCACAAATAGGGCCCGAGGTAGACCTAAGAACACTTAGAGCCATTCGTGTGCTACGGCCCCTAAAATTAGTGTCTGGAATTCCTAGTGAGTAGTTCCTCATTTATATTTAATTTTTCTACTTGTTGTCATGTCGTTTCGACGCGAAAGTCTCCTCATTTATGGTTTATGGTTTCTATTTATTTACTTAGTCGAGAAGTGAAATGGGCGAAATGTGTGGCTCAAAAACGAGATCATTCATTTTGGCCATCGCTTTACTTAGTTTTTGTATTGTTTTAAACGTAATCGTATATAATGATTGGTTTGCTGCGCATGATTGTCATGGATCCTAGCAACTTTCCACGACAACCGTGCCATAAATATGTGCAGAGCCATCAAAATTTCACTTACTAATCCAACATCTAATCTCCTTGAATCACTCACCCAAATTACGTCACGGAATGGATCTGATGATTGATGATTACCAAAAATAGGTTTACAAGTAGTTTTAAAATCTATTATCAAGGCGATGGCACCTTTATTGCAAATCGGTCTCTTGGTGTTGTTTGCAATCGTAATATTTGCAATCATTGGACTCGAGTTTTATTCGGGCGCACTGCATAAGACTTGTTATAGCTTAGAAGATCCAAGTAAGTTATAGTATTTGAATGCCCATCAATTGTAATGCCCGTCACCCCGTTAATACTTTCCCTACCCACGTAGACAAACTAGTGAAGGAGGGCGAATCAGAGACGCCCTGCAACACAGACAACGGTACGGAGAAGGCAGGTGGCTTTGTTTGCAACAACACCACTAGCATGTGTCTCGAGAAGTGGGACGGACCAAACCAGGGCATTACGAGTTTCGACAACATTGGATTCGCCATGTTAACGGTGTTCCAATGCATCACCATGGAGGGCTGGACATCAATACTCTATTGGGTAAGTGGTGATCACAAGGCTTTCTATGGAATCTCTTTCTATAATTTATATATTCCCGTTCCGGGTTTCTCTTGCAGACCAACGACGCACTAGGTTCAACATTTAATTGGATATATTTCGTGCCTCTTATAGTTATAGGCTCATTTTTTATGCTCAACCTAGTTCTTGGTGTCTTGAGTGGGTAAGTACAGCAGCAGCGGTTTGAAGACTTGTACACCAGTTCACGCTCGTACTCCTTATGATTTTGGTTAATTTTTATCTAAATCTGGTTTTCTGATACTGCATACATATATTTATGTCCCACTAATCGATGATTTCAAATCCAGTGGTATCCAGTGGTCGGATATCAACTAATCATTAAGATTCAATCTGCGAAATGTCTTAAGCATATGTATGCATGTATGTTAAAACATTTTGGTTTTAGTTTATAATTATGTTTATAGTTTGTCATTTAATCGAAAATTTTATTTACGTAATATACTATCGTATTTCCGAATTCAGAGAGTTTTCGAACGAACGAAACCGTGTCGAGCGACGCATGGAGTTTCAGAAATGCCGATTTCGGGCCATGTTTCAGACAGCAATGGTTTCGTACCTTGACTGGATCACACAAGCAGGTTTATACAAATAGATCTAAATCTAAGTGAAACTAAATAAACAACCATAATCAACCCGAAAGGCCCACACCGTGGACCGCCAGTCATTAAAAGTCAAAACAGTTCTTAAGATTAGTCTTAATATTACTCCCTATTCCGAACGAGCTCACTTTAACAAATAAAAAAAGAATCACCTATTTAAACCGAAACCGAAAACATCTTCCAATAATATACCACATAAGTTGTTTGATTACCATTAGTTACTATATACTAAAACACGAGCAATGTCCCAAGCTATAAAAAGAGTTATTGTTAATAGATATAATTAGTTTCGGTCCTTCAATTGCGAAACGGTCCTGCGAAACGCTGTTATAAACCCAATGCAACCCAACCAAATAAAGAGTTCCCAAGTATTTTGCAGCGCCTATATATTTTCTGCATTTTTCTAAACCCAAACTGTATCCAATTTTTACCTTTTTCTACTATAGCGATAAACTAAGCTCCTCCATCAAACTAAATAAGCCTAACCAACCAAAAATAAATACAAAATACGATTAGCCAACCAAAATATATTTTTTACTACCAATTATTATGTCTTGCTGTTACTTCTGGCTAGAAAAGACGTCGGCTCCTAATGCTCCCATACATTTTGACACCAGTGCACCAACCCAACAACAATGTTCTGTCCCTTCCGCGGATTAGCCAGCTATACTCCCATCACCGTCATCATTATCCCTGATTTGTGCCCGGAGTATGTGTGACTGGATCCCCGGGGGCATGGCCAGTGTATCACGCCATGCGTACTACTTCTACTCGCTGTCTCCAACTATATCATCTTATACATACATGATATGCTCGAATGCACATACATATAGTCTCACCAAATCGCTTCCCCGAACCTTACTCAAATAAGGTCACTCCAGGAGGCTATCTCTCTGTCGCCAGATATACATTACTCTTATTATATTTCCCTTGAATAATTTTCGTTTGTTCTGTTTGCTAGTTTTTTGTGTTTTAAAAAACTAACCGACCAGTTCTTAATTTAAAAAATTTGCCCTTATTTTGTGGTATTATTCGATTCTGCTAAGTTAATCACACTCGTACAAAACGATGATAAAAGTATACTGCGCTACTGAAAAATATTTATTTGTTTTACCAACCAACCTATCAATCAATCCTGTTTTGGGGTTATCACATTCTATTTGAATATTTTTTGTAGTGAATTCGCAAAAGAACGAGAAAAAGTAGAAAATAGACAAGAGTTTCTTAAACTTAGAAGGCAGCAGCAACTAGAAAGAGAGTTAAACGGCTATGTTGAATGGATTTGTAAAGCTGGTATAGTATTTACCCTTTATCTTGTTTTTATATCTATCTTTATACTTCCTAATAATACTAATACATTTAATACAGTACATTCACTTTCACGCACACAAATTTCAAACACTAATCACAAACGGAAACATTCATAAATAGACAAAAACACCACACAAAATAGCTTTCATATCTATCGAGTCTTGATCATTGTCCTGGCCTTTTAAGTTATAAAAGGAATCGATCGCGTCTCCTCTCGGAGAACGAAGGCAGTAAATATTTGTAATGAAATCTCTCTATTTTATGGCTATCGTAAACGAAAGTCGAAAGCCTAATCTGATCTGGTCTGATCTATTTTTTCCAAAACTTCTAGATTTTTACGATGAAAAATTATTTGGCCCAAGCTCATTAATGTGTTATAATTTATCGATCAGTATTTGCTGTTGCAATTTTTCATAAGATCGAACTCAAGGTTAAAGCATGTTAAAGAAGCGTATACTTAATGATCACTTATAGAAATAGTATAAAAAATCACATCTTCCTTGCCTTTTCTCATCGATATTAACCATCCATTACGAGTTACATTTGTCTTGTTGAATCTTGTTGTCACATGCAAATATAATTATAAAAACACATTTTAATTTTTGTAATATTTAAAGAGCCAGCACCTTGGGCCTTTTCTGAACATCCCTCTCCTAATAGTACACAGCTTCAAAGTGTAAAATGCCAAGAATAAAGTTAAAGTAAATGCCCCAAACATACATATATAGATGTAACATTTTTTGTATAAAGATATATATTTCTTATACCGTATTGTATATCTTTTTGGCGATAATTCTAATTTTGCTTATGGCGAACATCTACCAATCCATGAACCTTTATGTTATTGCAGAGGAGGTAATACTAGCAGAAGAGCGAACCACAGAAGAAGAAAAAATGCACATTATGGAAGGTGAGTTTTTACGAATTTTTCAAATTATTTTTGTCCACCATACTTTTTGACTAAGCAAATGTCAATGTTATCAATGTTAAATGTAAATTCTTTCCTATTTCAGCTCGAAGACGCAATGCTGCCAAGCGGAAAAAGCTCAAAAGTTTAGGAAAGTCCAAGTCTACAGACACAGAGGAAGAGGAGGCCGAGGAAGATTATGGCGACGATGGTGAGAAAGATATGCAAAATGGTAACAACTTTTTTTTAGAAAAAACTTACAAAGATCAGAATTTTACAAAGATCTTTTTAAACTCCAACGACTGTATAAACCAGAATTTTCTAAAATATTAATTATTTTTGTCAAATCTCGACCAGACCAAGCCAGGCTAGACATTGTCTACCAGACTAGACAATGTACGCTCAAATGACTTTAAATCGTTCTTAAATATGAATTAAGAAGCATCCTGAAAAAACACATTGTCATTTTTTAAATATAAAACTTTATGGCTTTCGTCAACTTTATTTTCACGATAAATGATTTATAACCTTTTAACATAGTCGTGAACTTTTGGTTAAGCATTTTAAATTAATTTGAAAAATGACTTTTATGCAATAATTTGAAAATATTTCTTCATTTAAACTTATTTGATCTGTCCACAAACCGAAATTGATTATCTCACATTGCATATGTTCAAAATGTGTAAGTAAATTACTTTTTTTTTTTCAAACCGAAAATCTGTCCATATAACTCTCACTTCATAACTCACACAGTACCTTCATTTAAAATTCCTTAGTTTCAGCCTAGACTCAATTATTTTAAAGGAAGTAGATGGTTGATGAAGAGCTTATGAGGATAAAAAGTTGTAGGAAGTTTTTATTTCTGAAAACGACAGAAATTATTTTTATTTTTTGAACACAGTGCCGTTCAATTGCAGTTTAATCAACTCACTGTCGTAAAAAAATAAGTAATAGGGATAAGAAAATAAACGTCAAAGACAAAAGTGCTAGAGAAACCATTACTATTGGCCCATTCACCTGTACTCGCAGTTTTCATATAAATGTAGTTTGAGAATTATCATGGTAGAGCAAGCTAAGCCACAAACCAAAATTTTAGCAAATTAGTGTCCTACAATCCGACATAATGTCAGTAAAATCGCATTTTGTACAGGAGTACCTTAATAAAGCATATAAGAAATAAACCAATTTAAATTAATGAAACTCACAACAAAATGCGTTCTATTGATAAATTTGTATCAATTTATTATGAATTATATGATCAATGTTTAAAGACCTCCTTCACGTTGTAAGTACGTTTGTGTCATTAAACCACAGAGCGTTTCGAACGAATAATGTAATTAATAAAAATTAATAATGTAATCATATTTGTAAACCCGACGCAGATTACCAAAAATGCTTGCAGAAACGCTTGGATGAAACTTAAGAAGTGACTGTTTCTGTCTTCAGTTGAGTCTTGCCAACTCTTGTCATTTAAAGCAAAAACAAGAAAGGAAAGCTAACTTCGGGCGGAGCCGAAGTTGATATACCCTTGCAGTTAAAACCGGATATATATCGCAAACATCGGATATAGTTGGCCGATCCTTACAAAATTTTGCATGTCGTATTATTTTGCCAAAAATAGCTCTCATGTCAAATGAATATATAATCCAATTTTTTACAACACAAAATCTAAAAAAAAGTCCCAAACTTCTATCTTCAAACATACCAAAGTTGGTATTTCTACCAAAAACCATTTCCGATCGTTCAGTTATATGGCATCTTTAAGATATAGTCGGCCGATCGTTACGAAATTTGGTAGGTTGGATCAACTGACCAAAAATATAATCTGTACCAAGTTCCAGCTTACTATCTTCAAAAACACGAAAGATGGGTAATTTCCAATCGTTCAGTTATATGGCAGCTATAGGATATAGTCGGTCAATCCTTACGGAATTTGGCATGTCGTATTATTTTGCCAAAGATAGCGCTCATGTAAAATTTGAACTGTCTAACTCTAAAAACACCGAAGTTATACCATTTCCGATCAATCAGTTATATGACAGCTATAGGATATAGTCGGCCGATTCCGGCCGTTCCGACTTATATACTGCTTGCAAAGGAAAGAAGGGTGTGTGCAAAGTTTCAAGTCGATAGCTTTAAAACTGAGAGACTAGTTCGCGTAGAAACAGACAGACAGACGGACAGACGGACATGCTCATATCAACTCAGGAGGTGATCCTGATCATGAATATGTATACTTTATAGGGTCGGCGATGTCTCCTTCACTGCGTTGCACACTTTTGGACAAAATTATAATACCCTCTGCAAGGGTATAAAAATATAGCTAGATTTCTTCAAAAATAGTAAATTAAAATAGCTGTTAATTTTTAATAAAAATCCAAATCGTTGCAATCCATATCTAAAAAAAATGTATGAATTTGCTTTAAAATTATTGAATGCATGCGTTATGTCTAAAATAGAACGTAGTGTGCTCATTTGCATTATATTTATGAGTTTTGACTTTACCAGGTTCACCTGGCTAAAAACTGGTTCAACCATTGCATTTGACAATGGTAAACTTTCATTGAAAATGAAGCCAAATCGTTAAAAGAATTGTTTCCTTTAGCGTCTTTATACATTAGAGCATTAAACTTTAATGTCGACTGGCAATAAATTATATAAAATTATTTAAAATAGCTAAAGAATATAAAATTATTTATGTGAAATAGCCAACCTGTCAAATAACAGGCTCTTGCAAAATTGAGTGCTTTCCAGTTTAAGGTCATGCAAAATAGCCAAATCTGGCTAGAAAAAATACCTAAGCTGGCAACCCTACTTCAGTTTTGTCTCGGAGTTTTAAAGTATGAGGTTTCGAAACGCACTGTGCCGCATAAATCAGAAGTGCACAAAACATTGGCCGTGTTTCTCTTTAGGATAAGATTCCACAGATTGCTCGGAAGAAAACTGACAAGAATTTCTATTCTCTTTACTCCCCTCATAGGTTATTTGAAAACTCGGTCGAAACCCCAAGGCAGCTGCACCGGATTCTGGCGGGCGGAAAAGAGATTTCGCTTTTGGATCCGGCATACGGTCAAAACACAATGGTTCTACTGGTTCGTGATCGTCCTTGTCTTCCTGAATACCGTGTGCGTCGCAGTCGAGCACTACGGCCAGCCATCGTTTCTGACGGAGTTTCTATGTAAGTTCCTAAATACTGGTGATTGAGAGTCACTGGATGATCCTTTTTATTACAGACTATGCGGAGTTCATTTTCCTCGGTTTGTTCATGTCGGAGATGTTTATCAAGATGTACGCTCTGGGACCCCGAATCTACTTTGAGTCATCATTTAACCGTTTTGATTGCGTTGTCATTAGTGGTTCGATATTCGAGGTTATATGGTCCGAGGTCAAAGGCGGTTCCTTCGGACTGTCTGTCCTGCGTGCCCTGCGTCTTCTGCGCATCTTTAAAGTAACCAAGTACTGGTCGTCGCTGCGCAATCTAGTCATCTCCCTGCTGAACTCAATGAGATCCATTATCTCGTTGTTGTTTCTGCTCTTCTTGTTCATACTTATCTTTGCTCTACTTGGCATGCAGTTGTTTGGCGGCCAGTTTAACTTGCCCGGAGGGACGCCCGAAACCAATTTTAACACATTCCCGATAGCACTGTTGACCGTTTTCCAAATCCTTACCGGCGAAGATTGGAACGAGGTTATGTACCAAGGCATCATATCGCAAGGTGGTGCCCAAAAAGGAATGATTTACTCTATGTAAGTGTTAGTTTTTAGTTAGTCTCATTCCACTCTATATGTATCATGCACATTGTTTGCTAATTGGAGCCTCAGTGAAAGCGTATGAGTTCCCAGCTAACTGTGTTTCCGACTCTTAGTATGCAATTGAGATATCCTGCTTTTTTATACTTTCCTTCAGTTGTCAGTGATAGCCTTCCCTTTCCCCCTCAAACGTAAGAAAAAGAACACCAAAAACCTACTTATATTATAATTAAGCGAACTTCGAAACTCATTGAACGTCGAACCATTAATGTATGCAATCGACTGCGACCAAGAGCATTCATATTTTGGTCAATCAGACTTATGAGCTTGAAGAATTTTTTATGAGAAGATAGAGAAATTCTGCAAGCCCAAGTCTCGAAAACTCGCAAAAGAAGAACTCATCATCCATCGAGCCTAGCAATCCGTAAGTGTAGACAGTTGTCCCTCGAACATAGTATTCTAAGCCCCATTTAAAATTTCTTTGCTTTTTCACTGTCATTTCTATTTACAGCGACTTCATGGTTTGCGCTTGCAAACTTCAATACTCTCACGAGTCTTTCGAAGGCTAGTTACCCACGGTAGCATCGTAGTTTTCCCAGATTAAGTCTAGTCCTAGCAAATAATACTTATAGCCCTGCAAACTTACAATTACAAGCTTATCTTTCGCAGCCTCATACCATCGGGGTGGTGCGTGGAGCTAATGATACAACCCACATAGATCGTACTGAGTACAGAGTTTTCCATCTGATTGGCTTTGGTATTCTTGATGCTCTTCCGACAGATATTTTATCGTTTTGGTACTCTTCGGAAATTACACGCTATTGAATGTGTTCTTGGCTATCGCCGTTGACAATTTGGCGAATGCCCAAGAACTAACAGCAGCCGAAGAGGAACAAGTCGAAGAGGATAAAGAGAAACAGCTGCAGGAGCTTGAAAAAGAGATGGAGGCGCTCCAGGGTGACGGTGTCCACGTAGACAACGGCGACGGTACCATCGCCACTACCAAGGCCAAAAACAAGCGCAAGGAAGAGGAGAAGAAGGAGGAGGAGGAAGTGACTGAAGGTCCCAAGCCAATGCTGCCATACTCATCAATGTTCATACTTTCTCCAACCAATCCGTAAATATTCAATTTAACTAACCAACTCACAATTCCATGATATCATTAACGCTCTCTGTAATCGCTTATGTAAGGCTCATTTTAGATGTAAGATAATTGAGTTTTTTTCAGGCCCCATCCTGAGTTCTGGCTGAGGTCCTGGCTGGTGACCGACTCTAACCTTAATTAGGGTTTAGTGAACGCGTGTAGTTGCCAATATTAGTTAATATCATCCATAATAATAATCATGATAATAATGAAATCACTAACTGTTCCTAATACTTTTTTCCTTTTATCCTTTGTCTTTTTCGGAAATCATAAAATTTTATGTTGCACACAATCAACAAATAAATTATTGATTAAATCGAAACAAAATATGTTTGTATGTATGTTGTATGTATTAACTCTTGCGACTTCAATCATTAACCATTAATCAAAATCAAAAACCAATCATGAAAAAAAAATCACCACGAAAAACGGCAAACATGCTAAATCATGCAAAACTCATAAACATTTTCGAAAAATGAACGAAAAACAAATCAACGTATTGATTTATAATTATAAATAATAAAAATAAATATATACGATCTTAAAAATAACGAACTGCCAATTGGAACACCAATTAACAAAAATTAAAATATTCAAACGGTTCATCAAAAATAACAACAAATTACATAAAACGTAAACGGATTCCAAAAATTCCGGAATCCCGCCAAAATACCAAATACCCAATCCGAACAAAAATCCCGATCTTAAATTTTATCAAAAATTTCACAAATCAAATGAAAATTATCGAACTGCGACCGAATTTGATTTAATCGGAAATGTAAAAAATATAAAAAAACATGTCCAACGAATCATCGAAACCACCCAATTACCTATTCGTCAACACATATTCGATACCGATATACGATGAAAATCCCCGACTTATACAGCATACGACGCGGCGCCCATTGGGTTGTTAATTTGCCATATTTTGATTTCTTTATTATGGTCGTCATATCAATGTCATCTATAGCATTAGCAGCCGAAGATCCCGTTCGAGAGAACTCAAGGCGAAACAAAATATTAAATTACTTTGATTATGCATTTACCGGCGTATTTACCATAGAAATGTTGCTGAAAATTGTAGACTTGGGTGTGATCCTGCACCCGGGAAGCTATTTAAGAGAATTCTGGAATATTATGGATGCTGTGGTCGTTATATGCGCTGCTGTTAGTTTCGGTTTCGATATGAGCGGTAGCAGCGCTGGACAAAATTTATCGACAATTAAATCACTTCGAGTATTGCGTGTACTGCGTCCATTAAAGACTATTAAACGTGTTCCAAAATTGAAAGCCGTCTTCGATTGCGTCGTGAACTCATTGAAAAATGTTGTTAACATTCTAATCGTGTACATATTGTTTCAATTTATATTTTCTGTTATTGGAGTACAATTGTTCAATGGGAAATTTTTTTATTGTACGGACGAAAGTAAACATACTTCCGCAGAGTGCCAGTAAGTAACGTTTTATTCTATTCAACTTTCAATTGTTTTTTCGCTATTTTTGTTTTTTATTGTCTTATTCCGTAACCGTAACCTTAACCGTAACCGTAACCGCAACCGTAACCGTAACCGTTTCCGTTACCTATTCGTACTACTTATTAATCTTGATCCCAAATGATAAATAACTAGACCACATATACATATGTACTTATGTTGTAACGTCTCGGTATTGGGATCATTTTTAAATAGGGGTCGACTCAGTAGCCTCATATTTTAGGTTTCTTAATTTGCCAAGTCGATCACCTACCTCCTATATTTGTATAGTCGCGTTACACTATCGCGCTCTAGCTTTCCCGATCTCTCTAAAACACACGCTCTCTATGACTCTATCTCTCTTCCTTTTCTATCTGTCTTACTTTTTAATTAAAAATACGGAATTCTTTCTGCCTCGGCTCCAGTAACGCCAAATATTTAGACACATACGTACATTGCGTAGCTAGTAGCGCTAGAACGATAAGATCACATCACCCACTCAAATTTCTCGCACTTCCTCAGTGAAGTCGTCGAGCTCTTCCATGTACATACATATATGTGTTATATAACCTGTGTATCTAAGGCGCTACAACTGATCACCCAGCCCCTACCTCCCAGTACATTGATGTTTAGTTGTACAGTACCAACTAGTTTTTCATACATATCCAAATACGAATACCCATTTTAATATTACCTATACTATATATACATATGTATATATACATATAAGAAAGAGGATTGTTTCGTCATGTTGTAGCCCTTAAACTTGAAAGAATTTTGTTACTGGAGTGACCCTAATATGGGAAGGAGAAATCATGGAAAGGTTATTTCGGAGCAAAGTGTAAATACTATACAAAGTATACAAAGTTTGTGAATATAAGTGGCCTTGATGAGTAGCTATAGGATATACGATTTCAGTCGCGTAATTAATGTGATCCTTTTGTTAATCAAACTTTTTCCACAATTGTTTGGTTCCTTTGGTTTCCTCTTTTTTTTATTTTTGAGTTTACTAAAAACAAAAAAGGTGCACTGATTTAACAGAATGTAAGAGTAGCATTTTATAGTTTCCCGCTCAGTTTTTTTTGCCTGACTTGTCTTACCAACAGTCACGCGACTAAACGGGCACCAAAAACAATAAAAAAAAGAAAAAAATAACGATAAATCAATATTAAAATTCCGGGTAATTAATCACTAAAAAAGGAATTAGAAAATAGAGAATGCGCCTACAAAGAATGCTAAACTAAAGCTTCCAGTCTCCACCTGACTTAACCATTCCATTTACGTTTTATTTCATCTAATTGTTTTATTAAAAAAAAAATAAGCTGTTTAGGCGTATTGAATTAAATTTAATAACTTTGAGAAGGAACCCCCGCGGTTAGCCTATGTATGCTTCGTTTATTTCAAATTGGGTATTAATCAAATACCAAAGAGTCCATATTACTACCAGAAGATTTCTTAATAAGCAAGCTAGGAATATATGGGACAGCGAAACTCATAGGTTAGATGTCCCAGAGAACTATTACCCAAAAATTGAAGACAACTGTCACAGTTCTTTGTAGATCCCGATCCATTTTAATTTCGTCAAAATCATTTAGCTATCATCTGTACATACCAGAATATCTCCAAAGTTTCCGAAGTTTTTCCTATGCCAAATTAGGAACTGCCCGTGTATTCGTATTGCCCGTCGAGACCAGGCATAATGCTAGAGTTAGAAACATTCATTGTAGGATTGTCTGTAGATGACGATTTTTTTTCATGTAATTTGTGTTTACTAGAGTTCTAGTACTTTATTACAATCATTCAATAGCTGATCGCACTTGCGACTATCCGCCGATATAGATGAAAAAAGTGAAAAAGCCAGATACTTGCGGTGCACTCGGTTGTTGTTCCGTTATAACACAGAGTATCGTTTGACCTTCGCATGCAATTACTATCGTCGACGATCTGCCAAAATAAAACCAATAAAACTCCAAAAAATTTAAAAAGAAACTCTAAAATACATATGTACACGTACATCTAAAGCCCACAAGAGTTCAACTGAACGTGTTATTTCTTTCAAAGCACAAGCTAAGCGATGAAGCGACTGCTGTCGCAAAATTACAAAGATTGGATCCTTTACCATAGAAGATCTCTGAGTTTACCTTCCATAATAATTATCTAATTCCAATTCGTAGAACGCACTCGCTGCATCGCTAGTGCCTTTTCACGCTATTTGGAATCCGCAAGAACAACATATATGTAGAACCATTCGCTTGAGCGCAGCTGCTTTGTTACACATCACCGAACCGACAAAGGGCCGACACACCCAACCACTGAACCACACAGCCAAGGTCACTCTCGGGGTCAGAGCCAACTTAATCAACTTGATGTTGTAGCCACTTCTTATCGTTAAACATGGTTTTCGAGCATTTCTTTTTTGTACGCCTTTTATGTCAGACCGCATCGAGTGTTTATTTGGGCTGAGCTAAGCTAGAGTATATCTCAAGGACCAATTCCTACTCGTAAAGGTTTAATGCAGCAGAGTGAACAGGAAAAGTCACCTTTTCAACACAACCTCGCATTTACATATTAAATTACTAACCTCAACCCAGGAACCAGAAACATGCGAATATTGAAATGAAAGGGGCTTTAATCTTTTTTATGCACCATCAGCGATCTATCTTTTTTATATATTTCACTTTCGGCTTTATACTCCAGTCTCTACTCCAGATTCAATTCATTTTACCATCTTACCTCATGTGTTTATCGGACCTTTGTTTGGATGCCTTTTCTATTAAGTTGAGATTTTGTGTTTTTACTTTCGCTACCGTAGTGTATTGTGTGCAACCTTTATTTTTGTATGTTTTCCTGCCGAGTCTCTAATAAAGTTTTTAATCAATAAACAAAACTTAAACACAAAAAACCGCCACCTATAAAATAAACTTTTAAACCCCGACAAATGAAACAACCTCACTAAATGCACTCCAAAAGGGGCTCATACTTTAAGTACGAGGAGGACGAATTGCTGCCAAAACAGGAGCTGAGAGTGTGGAAACCACGAGCCTTTCACTACGATAACGTTGCCGCCGCGATGCTGACCCTGTTCGCCGTCCAAACCGGCGAGGGATGGCCACAGTAAGCCCACTTGTTGTTTCTAAAATTATTACACTTTAAATTCACTGCCTATTTCTAATCTAATCTGTCGCTCTGCAGCTCTGTCTGATTTTCGGGGCAGATAAGAATCTAGATCAAGGAAATAACTAATCCAATTTTTTTGCATGTTTTTTTCTCAACCCTTACCTTTACAACCTCGTCCATCGTCCATCCAAATCAAAAATTGAAATCGAAACCCAAACCGAAACTTTAATCAAAACTGAAACCGAAATCGTAACCGATACTCAAAATCCACAAACACCGATTCAACAAAATTCAACGAATAGAGTCTTGCAACACTCTATGGCTGCCACTTATGAAGATAGGGGTCCAATCCAAAATTTCCGGATCGAAATGTCCATATTTTATATTGTGTATTTTATTGTGTTTCCATTCTTCTTCGTCAACATATTCGTGGCCTTGATTATTATTACGTTTCAAGAGCAAGGCGAAGCCGAGCTACAAGACGGTGAAATTGACAAAAATCAGGTGAGCCAGACCTATTAAACCCGTTAAGAGTTAATGTTTTGCGAGTCCAAATCTCCATCTACTATCTGTCTATTTGTCTCTCTTTAAATCTGCTTATATGTGTGTGTTTCGTGTGTTGTAATGTTAGTTATAAATGTAAAAATCAAAAGAATCAACCGAAACAAAACCAAAAAACTGAAACCTCTTGAAAAATGAAATATTACCTATTAGAATGCACGTATATGTCACTAATTCGTAAATATTTGCGGCAAACATAATTACCTACATAACAACATTCCGAACAAAAAAAACTCAACAAAACAATTTACATGAAAACAATGTACACCTAGTACACCGAGTACAGATGTCGTTCATAGAATATATAATTGTTGAACTAACTTCAAATTCAAATCTATTTATGTACTATACTAGTATATTTTAATGGGTATGCTCCTTTGAGTGTCTTCTTTGAGTTTGGTTCACCCCACTTCTTCCATCTAACACCTCCCATAGATAGAACCTATTTACATACCTCTAATATTCCTGTATGTATTACCCAAGCGGCAGTTTTAGAGCCCCAATCAAACTCCAATCCAACCTCAAAAGTTGCGCTCTCGGCTCAGAAGCGCAAGGCTCCTTTTTATATGTATTCATATTAGTTATACTCATTTTATTTATATAAATAGTGAACATTTACCGGAAAGTAGAGATGTATTATATTTATGCGATATTCCTTAAATGTTTCCTGATTGTAGTGGGAATATTTAACGATCGATATCGTATAGTCCCTTCAACTTTGTATACAATAAACAGAGACAATTCTAAGTAAGTATTTTTTAACATTCGCCGCAGAGGAATTTAAAACAGTGGTCGGCAGGGGTGTATTCCAGGGACATAGGAGATGTCTCTTCCCGAGCTCTGCCGCACACATACAGTATAAACGTATGAAACGTCATGCTCTCAGCCTTCTTTCTGCTATTTGTTACTAATATTAATTCTTTAAAATTATATCAATGTATTCAGTACCGACCACTGATTTAAAACCTTAGTAAGAAATGTGTGTCAAGGTTTCATTTTCTTATCAGTTTTGGTTTAGGATTTCCAAATTTTATTTTTTTGCGTAAACCTACAATCAAATTTATGTGCAATATTTGTAGAATTTGGCATGTATTAAATTTACGTAACAGATTATTTGTTTAAGTTAATATACATCCAAAAAAAATTTCATGTATTTTTTTTCCGACGAGATGTTTCATACTGACTAAGCAAAAAAATGCCATGGCCTATACATAGATGTAATATGCTACATATTGTTAAAGTTATACCCTAAAGTTGGCGTTTGGCTGATATTTACTTAATTGTGTAACAATTCATCAATAATTTGACATTAAATTTAATAAAAATGTATTTCCCTTTAGAAATCCTGCATTGACTTTACAATCGGCGCGCGACCCCTTGAGCGATATATGCCCAAAAATCGAAACACCTTCAAGTATAAAGTTTGGCGCATTGTCGTGTCAACGCCTTTTGAGTACTTTATTATGATGCTGATCGTATTTAATACCCTCTTACTGATGATGAAGGTAAATTTTATGAAGGGGAATCTTTTCTACAAATAAGACAATGTTTGGTTTTGCTGAGGTATCTTGGGTACCCTTATTAAGCCCAAATAGGTTTATATCTGATTCTAAAGGGATCTTTTAAATTTAAAGATATTTTTTAATGGCTAGTAATTTAATATGTACATACATAAACCTGTCGAGGAATTTCCGTGAAAGTATCGTAAGTCGCTTTTTTTCGAAATTGAGATTTTAATGCAAAATTGTTAGGCATCTAATGTCTAACTACCCTGTGAAATATTATAACTGAAAACCCTATAGTTCCGATAAAAATTAAGTTTCAATTCTATCGTATGTTACAGTGCTTTTCAATCTGCACGCTTTTCAATATCGTATGTCCATACAAATTTTTTGCAAGGAAATATTTCAAACGCACAAAAATAAAGAAATACAATAACAAATGTTTCTAATCGCTTAAACATCTTTTGATTTTACTTATTGTCTGTAAGAGATTAAATAAAAAAAAAGCTTCTCCCGTAAAATTGGATTTTTCAACCTACGATACTTTTGCGGAAATGCGTCAATGTATTGAATCTTACCGGTAATATTACGATCGCGTTTGTTTGGTATTAATTTGAATTTTGAAAATGTGACAAGCCATTTATATTGTAAAATAATAATTCAGTCGGTTATACGAATCTAAAGATTAAAGCTTGTAATTTTTAATCTTTCTTGCATACATGTTTTCCTTACACGTCCAAATTAATATTTTTCCAACATGAGATTTTCTAGTAAAAAAAAAAATTTTTGTTCATGAACGGAATCGGTGCCCTTTGGCTTTATTTAACACAAATGAGCGTATATACATTTTCAACAAATTTAAAATCTCTACAGTATCATAATCAAGGAGACATGTACGAAAAGTCGCTAAAGTACATAAACATGGGATTTACTGGAATGTTCAGTGTAGAAACTGTGCTAAAAATTATTGGATTCGGCGTCAAGGTGAGTAAAATTGGTTTATATGAGCTTCATTCATCATTGAGAAAACAAGTAAAAACAATACAAGTACATACAGAGATGCAAAAAAAAAAAATCCTAAGGGTATAAAAATTTACGTATATCGCTCTTGAATATTTATAGAATTTGATTTGGTACCAAAGTAGTACTTTAGAAGTAATGACAACAAAAAGCTAAATAGCTCATTAAATATTTTTAGTCTTTGTTAAATTTTTATACCCTTGCAGAGGGTATTATAATTTTGGTCAAAAGTGTGCAACGCAGTGAAGGAGACATCTCCGACCCTATAAAGTCTTGATATATTCTTGATCAGGATCACCTCCTGAGTTGATATGAGCATGTCCGTCTGTCCGTCTGTCCGTCTGTCTGTCTGTTTCTACGCGAACTAGTCTCTCAGTTTTGAAGCTATCGTCTTGAAACTTTGCACACACCCTTCTTTTCTTTGCACGCAGTATATAAGTCGGAACGGCCCGGATCGGCCAAATATATCCTATAGCTGCCATATAACTGATTGATCGGAAATGCTATAACTTTGGTGTTTTTAGAGTTAGAGAGTTCAAGTTCACGAGAGCTATTTTTGGCAAACCATTAAGACATGTCAAATTTCATAAGGATCGGCCGACTATATCTTATGGCTGCCATATAACTGAACGATCGGAAATGACCCAACTTTCGTGTTTTTGAAGATAGAAAGTTGAAACTTAATACAGATTATAGTTTTGGCCAGTTGATCCAACCTACCAAATTTCATTAGGATCGGCCGACTATATCCTATAGCTGCCATATAACTGAACGATCGGAAATGGTACTTGGTAAAAATAACAACTTTCGTATTTTTGAAGATAGAAGTTTGGGACTTTTTTTAGATTTTTTATTTTAGTTAATTAGTTTTAATATGATGTAATCATAAGGATCGGCCAACTATATCCGATGTTTGCGATATATATCCGGTTTTAACTGCAAGGGTATATAAACTTCGGCTCCGCCCGAAGTTAGCTTTTCTTTCTTGTTTTTTTTCATAAAGCTTACAGGCCCAGATGATCGAAGGGCGCTCGAGAAACGGTTTATTAGTATATGTTAAGCTATTTGTAATTTATTAAGCTAACAGGAGTTAGTAAGGAAATTTAAAATTCTATATTTTAAATTTGAAGAACAGGAAAGAGATGTTATAGAGTAGAGACCATTGTAGTTCAAGCATAAGACCCTAAAATGCCGAACTACAATGGCTAAGGAATAGAGGACTGATATTTTTAGTCCTTCTATTAGGAATGTTACAATTTAGGCGTGTTAGTAAATGCTGAAGACTGAAGACTGCATTGGGCAGAGATGGATTTGTACTGAAGACAAAGCTTTACATCATCTGAATACATAAGAACTAAAGAGTTCGTTAAAGCAAAGCGCAAGTCTTTATGAAAGAAGTAAATAATAACGGGCCAAGATGACTTCCTTTATAAAACTCTTTGTGTTCTTCCATCTAAGTAGCTGGAGATCCACGTTAGAAAGTTAGAAGTCTGTAGAAAATCATAGCATATTCAGTTACTTAACAAGAGTGAGTGATTAACTGAATCAAATGGTTTGCTGAATTCTGTGTAAATAACATCTGTTTGACATCCCATTCGAAAGCCCTCTCGAGGTTTCCAAAGATAAGTTGAAAAGTCTAAGAAAAGGTTTGTACAGAGCCCTGGCACAGTATTTTAGCACACAACCTGGTACTCCATCGGGGCCTGGCGAATAAATGGGTTTAAGCTTTAGAAGATCAGATAATAAGCTATTCTCGGAGAAAAACGGACAGAAATAAGATTAGCTTATTGAATGTTATATGCGTAAGGCTGATCTGTCAATTTAGGCGGAGAATAAGTTGTTTGAAAAAATTCTGCGAACAGATCGGCAATGGCCTGATCAGAGGTCGAGGATGAATTTTCAAACGTAAGCAGAGGTGAAAAAGATACTTGTTTACGCTTAGTGTTTACAAATTTATAAAACTGCTTTTGATCCTGAGTAAATTGTGTCCGGCAGCGGCGAATATAATTCCTGTAACATTCCTGTCAACAAATGTATTTAAAGTACAGTAAAATTTTTCTAAGGTGACATTAACATCGGTGCATGCCAGAATATCGGACCAATCATATGTATCGATAAGGCTATTAAGTTTATGAAAATCAGCTTTACGGGCGAATCTTTTTTGCCACGAATGGAGACATCTGATCGATACCAAGAATGGTTTCGATTGAGACCTCCAGCGTGGGGTGATATGGATCCTCTGGGGTTGAAAGGTGGAAAGCTCTGGAGATAGTGGTACCATCAGGATCAGATACAAAACATAAGTCTAAAAGCCGACCCAACGAATTTCTAACATGGTTAGACTTACGGACATGTCAAACATGCCAGCGGTGAAGTCATGGTGCGTAAAGATCTCCGGCCTTAGCCAAGTTTCTGTAATGGCTATAATAAGGGATGCAAAGAAAGAACTATCAGAATATAGTTTAGGGAGTTTGCTACGTAGCCCCCTAGTATTAGTGACGATATTAGTTTTTTGGGTTTGTGGACGAAGAAAAGGTGGAAGGTTGGTCCGTGGTTTTGATATGGGGAAGTTTTACTGGTTTTAAAACTTTTTTCTTTACAGTTCTAGGCTGATGTTCTTGGACAAAAAGGTTCTCTGGCCAAAAACTATGTGAACAAATCGTCTTGAACATCCGCGCGAGCAAACGAATTTTGAAAGAAGGCGTGCGCCTTATATAATTATATTTATGTTTAGCTATGTCCTCCATTTTCATATCGGCTTTTGTTTTGGCTTTGATGTAAGCCAAGATATCAATCTCTGAAGTATCAGGGGCGAGCCGAGAAACAAATATGTGTTTCGATGGAGGAATCATCTGTAAGGGTTTTGGTGTCGCAGGTACGAGGACTGTAGCGCCATTCAGTACCGGTGGGCCGGACTGTGGAATACCTTCTTGGGTGGTTACGGGGGGTTTAACGGGGGTTTCATTCACTAGGACCTGTGTTATCATCTTAACGGATATCAGACAATTGCTCATTTTCCCTGAGAAGTTCGGACGGTGAATTGTTTTCAGTTTTAGGCCGTTGGGGGGCCAGAGATATGAGAGGCTGCCTTAATGTCGGCTGAGGCGGTTCCCAAACAGCGGATTTCTTACGCTTAGGGGACTCATTTAGCAGCTGAAGACCGCTAAACTGAGTGTCAAGCGCACAGAGCTGGTCATTGATTTTACGAAAACCAGTGATAAAATCTTTAAATCTATTCTTTGTCTGTCTTATGAACGACCTCATTTCGTCTTGGACAGCACGACAATAATCATAACAATAATGTAAGCCAGACCTACGGGAAATGCCATCCGAAACTGAGGCAGTACGACGTTTTCACATAGCCAGCAATGGATGGTAGGCTGGGATGAGGAGATTGTGTTGCTACAAGACTTTTTATACCCGGTACTCGTAGAGTACGTTCAGTTCGTTTATGTTTTTGGAAAATTTTTAGAGATTTCTGCTTCCCTATTGAATCGGTACTAGTGACGTAGAAGTCGTAAGGGGCAGCCGTTGTTTTTTTTTTTGCCCAAGCACAAAAGTTTGCCAAAAAAAATTGTTGCTGAGAATCCATACCGTTTATGTCAAAACTTTAAAGGTTAGTTAAATTGTGGGTGGAAGAGTTAAGTACCGGGTATAATGTAGTCGGAAAACTCGACTATAACCGTCCTTTCTTGTTTTGTTTAATCTTATTCTAATTTGCCGACTTGACGAAACTTTTTATGTTCTGATAAAATTGACGTTACATTGACTTTGAATATTATTATTTTTAATCACTTTAATTCATTTATATCCAAATAGGAAATTATAGGATTTAAAGAATCAAAAAAACTATGTCCTAAGTAAAGTATCTGTAAAATTTTTAACAATATGATTTAATTGAATCACTTTGTAGAACTTCTTCAAGGATCCCTGGAACATATTTGATCTGATCACAGTCCTTGGCAGCATTGTCGACGCCTTATGGATGGAATTTGGGGTAATTATTTGATTGCTTTTACCATAATCAGAGCAAACATTTTTGTTGTGTTCGATTTCTGTAGGTTGTTATGCAAGGCATAAAATATATTTTTACAAAAAAAAAACCAATTTTATCTAACCTTTTTATTTTGCTGATATAAAAACACCATAACTTTAATACACAAACTCACGAATCTAAACAAAATAAAACACAAAGAAGCAAATATTTATAAGTACCAATATAAAAATCGTTACGGACTCGATCTGTATGGCATTCATATTTTAAAATAACTAAAACCGAAGTTATTTGCACATGACAATTTATTTAAGATTAAAACATGTTTAAAACGAATGCTAATTAAGTAAGGAAAACTGGTATTTCTTTCATTTTTAATTTTTCAAAAAAGGTATCAGTTTTTTTTTAATTTCAAAGATTAGTTCAATGAGTTCTTTTAAGATTAATTCAATGAGAATTTTAATTCAAAGAGTTTTATAAGGTCAGGTTTAAATCATATCAACTTGAAATCACTAAAGGAACAATATTTAGCGTGTACCTTATTTTGTAATCTATAAAATGCTTAGGAGTCAGCATATCGTAAAACGGTTTACATTCACATCTGTACATTACATCTGTTACCAATCGTATTGCTATGCATAATAAAACATATTTTTAATTTTCTTTTTCTGGTATCGACAATTTTTTTAAAACAAACAAAACAATTAAATGAAATATATCAAAATGCAGAAATTAATAATCATATTTCTTTTTTGATTTCCTTTTCCATATTTATTTATGTACGAAAACCAAAAACCGAATGTGGTTTCAAAATCGGGAAAACCCAATCCGAATCAAATAAATATATCGATGAAACAAATTAATATTTAAAATGTATAACAATTACTCACGCAATAATATTTCCCCACACGATAACAAAAATAAACGACAACCCATGCACAAATCTGAACAAATGTGTCAACTTATATAATACACTTCAATCTTTATACGATTCCGTATGACTTCTATATGTATCGTTCATATATGCGAACCCAACGTTTCTTTTGTAATTGGTCGATCCGGGAATCAAACAAAATCAACGAAAATACACACAAAATAAAAAAAAAATAATAAAAAATTCACATTTACATACATATGTAATTTTAATACAAAACACAATGAATGTCCAACAAACTCAAAAAAATGTCTTTTCGCTCACCTCCACCACCCCCCTTAACAAAACCGATTCACAAAAACCATCACCACTGCCACCATATCACCAATGATTTTGTATAAAATACATAATATAAAACTCATTAAACCAATCACTTACAAAATTGAATCAATTATATGCAAAATGACCAAAAATGATTATCAATTCGAATCACCATCCGAAAACGAAATTATCTGAACACCTATCTGAATCTATTTGAACTGGAATATGAATCTGAATCAAAACTGAATCCAAATCGAAAAAAAAAATCAATTGACCCTATATGATGAATTGTCCATCACTAAATCTCTCATCTTAATCTCGTCAATCCAACCTCATGCATGTGTATATCCTGCAACTGCAACGGTGTGTGGCCCAACAATTACATACGTGTGCACACACATATACACATGCATCAAATTCGCATAAATTTACGTACACACACATATGCGGCCCGCGCCCATTTATGTGTGGACGTTCTATCATCTCCAACTACATCGATTACAACATGTACAACCAATCGACACAACCAGCAGCACGATGTAAGTACAAAACACGATCTACACGGATTTTACAGTTATCGAACTTGTCGATGTTTACGACTCAGTGAGCTTAGATTCTTAAACTACTTAAGCCGCAAAATTATTGCTTCCAAGCTTATTTAATCCAATCTCTCTATTTTTTTTACTTTTATGATTTTTATTCGATTTTATTATACAATCTGTTTTATCTTTTAACATAAATATATCAAAATTAACTCAATTTTATTAGTTCTGAGTATCACAATTAGGTAACTCATTTGCATTGTCACTCTTAAATCTTCCTTATCGGATTACTATTATTTAGAATATAATATTGCGATTTTTACATCCTAGCGTGTCTTTCTCTGTTTCACCTTATCTTATTGTATATATATTCGATCACCTCTTTTTCCCGACTGTTTATTGTGCAAAGTTATGCCAAGATGGGTTTTACGTCGTTATAAAAAACGCTAAGCGCTAAAAGCGCGTGTGTATGTATGGCGAATATTTAACTTTTTACTGGGGTTTTACTTTTATTGAAATCAAACTTAATAAATGAAAATAACGTTAAACGTTAGGCTATATAATGCATAAAAGATGACTTTTTAAAATAGTTTTATGGGATTGCACACATAAATGCTTTAAAATTGGCTTACCTTTTAAGCAACTCGAATATTACCGTTTTTTTAATTTAAACAAAATGGTACCGCGTACGATACTGTCTGTTTCTTTTATTCACTTTCGTGCTTAAGAATTTCCTTTCGTTTAATTTGCGCATGAATTACCTGGATAAAAATCCCACATAGACTGTAAAACTGAAAATGTTACCACCAAAATTTGCATACTCATTGCGACTCATCTCCACTAGTTATACCACTCCCATGAAAAACACAAAAACACAAAAAAAGATTGAGATGGTATAGTGCTTCAATAATATCATATTCGGTGCATAAACTAATAATCCGAAACCAAGATCGAAGGCAACGTCATCATCATCTTTACTAACTCGCCTTCGGGTGTCGGATAGGTGGTTATTCTGTGAAGCGTTCGAGGGTTATCGGTAACTGTAAGTAGTCGTCTCCGGCACAATCTGCAATAGGCCCTATCACTATCGAATATGGCCCAACAAGTGAAGTACATAATGATTAATCAGTCTTTAAATCCTTTCTATGTGCAACTATCGATTTGAGCTTTATCACCTCGTGAAGCCGACTCAAGAGCATGACTTCAGCCTTTTTCTGCTTCTCTCTTTTGAGACCCAACCCAAACCCAATCTGTTTTCATCATTCCTGCAACTTTACTCTATGGACAACATTTTAGCAGTCTGTCGTAGTTATCGAATACATATATCTACTTAGGACACTGAATAAATTTTGAATATTTTCGAATATTTCTTCCCTTTTTTACATGAAACCAACTTAACCCCTTACCCATCACCACCACCAGCTTTTTCTGCCTAACACTCAGTTTTGCGATGCTCACATCTTTCAATTTCATGTTTGCAACTAAGTAGTGACCCAGTGGGCTAGACGTAAATTGGCTGCATGCAATTTTACATTCACACTCAACGATACATTCCACAGAGATAATAAATTTATGTAAGTTTGCTCAAAATTTTAAATTTGAGCAAAGAGCACTTAGAGTTACTTAATTCTGTTAGCTTTGGCTTCTTAAATGCACTACCAATTCTTTGAATGGCTAATTGGCTGATTGAGTTTCAATGCTTTGGTCGACCAGCGACACTGTCTAAGATTTAAGGTTACCTCTTCAGGTTTCCAAGTTCCATGTAACTAGGCTCCAGGTCCATGTAAAGGCTTGTCCACTTCTGGTTTTTGTGATCGTGAGGTAAATTTCGCCCGCCTTTCAATTTCATTTCCTCGAGTGCCCTTCCATTACACACTTTTAAGTTCTGAAGTATTTATGTTGCGACCCTTCTAATTTTGAATATACCCCGGCGAAAACATGCAAGTAATGTGTACTTGTAGAATCAAACCTTCCCCAGGCAATCAGCCGAATAGAAACCATACCGACTTAGAAACTTACGGAGTGATATAATCTACCTAAGTACGTCCAAATAAGATGCAATTAAGAAAAAAAAAACTTAATGCAGTCACACGAATACTCATATACACGATTTAGAATAAAATTGAGACTTGTACGATATTTATATTAATACCGCTTTAGGATATTACCAGATAGAAGCTACCTACATACATCTATACAATCAAATTTATGCTACTAATTTTCAATTCTACTTTTCGTTTCTTTACTTTTCTAAAACAAATTATCTTTGCCAAACGACACAATCTTTATTAAAAACGCCGCCTTTCGAATTTGACCAAAACCGACCTGTGATCGAACGTCAAATATCTATACGTATGAATACAAATACAAATGAACTTAAATCAAACTAAACTAAATGAAAACCAATTGAGAACCAAAATCATGTTTCCCTTCGTATTCATTGCGACGATTTGAAATGTATCTGAATATTTGAAATCTGAAAATAAAATGCCAAATAATTGTTTGGCACCTACCAAACAACACCTACCACTACTGCTACTACCTTAAATAACAACATCTACAAAAATGATCGAAAAATTACATGTATCGTCTAATAACAATAAACTTATCATTCTCAATGCGGCTTATGAGTTTTGTGAACATTGATTTGTTTCAAAACAAATCCAAAATTAATTTTGAAAATGGTATCTGACTATCCACCAGGATGTAAGTAAACGAATATATTCTAACAACTTTTCATTTTTGAAATTCAACTAACGAACAAACAACAGTAACAATTTTAACAGAAACAGTACCAAAACAACACAACAGTCCCTATACATATATTCGACCAATTACCCTATTTATAGTTAATTCCAACAATAGTTTTCATGTTCAATTACTTAAGCAGATTGCTTCGATTTGTATTGGTTTGTGAACATCATATGTAGATAAAATCTTTTTACATTGATTCAAAGTAGAAATCCAAGTCAACTTTTGGTATCTTAAACTTTTAACCTAGGTTTATACATATATAGATGTGCATTTTTAAATTCTGTATATTCAAATCGATGTAAGAATATAATCCTGTGATTTATTAAACATCCTAGAATGCGGCATCGAGCATCTGTTTATTACCCGCGATCCCCACAGAACCCACTGATCACTTAGTTAAGCCAGAAAATCCCCTTTCTTATCTCTTGGGACCTATTGCCTCTGTAAATATTTTTCGATCGAAAAGTTGGTAACTTCTGCCACAAACCTTTATGCGAATATGTTTTCTCTTCAGCGACGTGTTCTACGCCAGTCTTGTGAAGCGTAGGAGCTTTGTGTCAATCTTAATGTTCTTCTGTCATTAGCTCTAGTCTCCGTAGAAGAGTTCAATTTGTTTCCATATCCCAAAAAATATTATATTTACTTATATTTGCATCATAAACATCACCAGTAGTATATACATATTTATGTAACTCCTCTTCTTTGAACGCGCCAAGCGGAGGCCACGGCGAGGCGGTATGCGGCCCGAAAGTTGCCGTGCCGGAATCTGGCACCTGCCGTCCGGGTGTACGGGTGCTTGCCGGCGGAACTTAGTCCCAAGGTCTGCACTCGCATATCCGTGATGCTTTGTGTTTTATGCAACAGATGATGTGTAAGATATTTTGGCCAAAGCCTCTATTATCAATGACGAACAGCTTACTTTATCCTATAAACAACGTCTACACATCCCCCAGTACTCCTACTACAACTGTACGACAACTTCGACACCTCTACCTGTGACCGAAATACACCCCATATAGGGTTGAAATTTTCAACCAAGTTACTTACTCCCAAAAATTACAATCTTTATGAGGTAGAACAATGAAACCAACTTGAGGATTAATCAGCTGAAAAGGTCTTAGCACCTAGGGAGTTAGAAAAATTGCAAAATTTCAACCCTTTATACAAATCCAGCTCAAAAATTAAACTGCACACACTACATAGAAAAATATTACTATTACAAATGTACATACTTAAGCTCTGCACGTGTCACATTAATATGGGAGTATTAGCAAGAGACACAAAAATGCAACGCACAGCAAAATTAGCCAGAACTTAGAACCCAGACGTTGCTTAGGCATACAATAGTCCTATAGGAATCTCACAAACAGCAAAACTGATACACTTAACGACACGAACGCTTAAACAGGTAATTGATATTCACCGAAAGAATGCTACTTAAATAGATGTTGCTTACATTTTGGAGTAAACACGATCAAAAATTTTCCACTAGTTGCAATTTATGTAAAATTTGAGACAAACCTTATTTAATCATAAACTTTCATTGAAAAATACCATTTTTATATGAATTGTCTATACTACATTTTTATGGATATAATGTCTTTTGGATCGTACTTAAGTATCATTTTTTCTTTATAGCGAATTGATTCAACTACTTAGTTGTAATGACTTAATCCAAAGATTTTTACAACCTCGAATTGAATCTGTTTTCGCTAATACGTATTTACCTGTACCTTAACCACTTTAACTTACAATTAACCTACTAACCCAACATAACTAATACTAACATCAGTACTTATGTCTATAAATATCAACTAAGAGTACTTATACGAATACCTACTATTGACACCAACAAACAGTATACTTCTGCACTAACAACTTCTAAAGTACTCCTACTAACGGAACGATTTTAACGATAACTATTAACCGTTAGCATAGATTGGAAGTGTAGTGTAGATCGATGACGACGATATCGAGCTCCTCGAGAGAGCGACGCATACACCACCTTCAACCATTCTAATTCCAGTCTCTTTATCTGTTCTGTTCTCTCTCTCTCTTTTATTTTTACTCCTTTGTTCCTTTGGCCAATAATATTTTACAGTCGAACTCAATCAACGTCGGCTTCCTACGTTTGTTTCGTGCGGCGCGTCTTATCAAACTACTGCGTCAAGGATATACAATACGCATCCTCCTGTGGACATTTGTACAATCATTTAAAGCACTTCCATATGTCTGTTTGCTTATAGCTATGCTGTTTTTTATATACGCTATTATTGGCATGCAGGTAAGTCCCGGATGTCGAATCCGTACCCCGTATACCCAGAAAGTAGACTGGACTCAAGATGCTAGGAAGTCATATGTATGGGGGGTCTGATATTCATTGGGGTCAAGCCTAAAATTAATGGGTTTGTGTGAAGTTATTAGAATAGAGTCTATTGATTAGTTTTGGTAGTCGATCGATATATGATCAAAAGTTCCGTAGCATCACGAGTATTGGATTAAATTAATGCCAATTCAAACCAATTATAATGTTTACATCAAACCAAAAGGTTTTCGGCAACATAAAGTATGATCCGGACACTCAGTTGAACCGTCACAATAACTTCCAGTCCTTCTCTGGTGGAATAATGCTGCTTTTCCGGTAAACGAGATCCGTAACCTATTTATTGTATATCTAGTAATTACCGGCATTATATTGAATGTAGAGTCTAAAACCGGAAAGAAAAATTTTATTTACATACGTGTGCTTTCGATTTCGCGCAAGAATATATATTTCGTAAATATCTCTCATGAATATCTCTAACGATCGATAGAGGATCCGACTACAACTCATCGAATCCGCCGTCGATCGCCTCAGTCATCCAGTATCTGTTTGAGTCTTATAAATGTTTGCAGTAAAAAGATCGAAGCATCCTTCTATGTACGTTTGAAGTTGAGTTCGGATGTCTCATATGCATTTTGTAATTAATCACTTTCCCTTATAGTTTAGTATTTTCGACTCAATTATTACATAAATGATCCATATTGGAAGTAGTTTTTCTATAACCAATTTTTATTTCATGTAAATACATACATATATGCAAGTTCTAGTGTAAACTATTTACTATTTATTACTGAGTATTGAGTACTGAGTATTACTATTTATATTTGATTTTGCGTTAATATGGTTAGTTGGTTAACAGAAGGGCTCTAACAAAATCAGTAGTCAACTAAACAAAATGCTTAATCACCCAACATTGCTACAATGCAAGCTAAATAAAATAAAACTCTGCATAACTCATACCTAAACAACTTTTAAAAAGCAGACGAAGCTATTCCCTAGATTTCCAAATAAAAAAAATCTTTTTGCACTTTAAAAATAGTTAAACGATGTCGAAACGTTCTTGGACTCCCACTTAACATTTTTTGTCAAAAGGAGGTTAGAGACAGAGACACGATTTATTAAAATTATGTTAACTACAGCATATGCTGTATGGTAAGTGCTACAACATAGAAAAGAGCTACCAGTTGAAACCAGTTATAGTTCAAGTTTGTAGTTTTCAGTCAATTCGAAGAAAATCTTTAATCTTAATATATTTTAATATAATTTGTTTTTATTGTATCTGAAAAAAATTGATGAGTAATATAATACTGTCAAAGATCGATTCTCCCAAGAATTTTATTTTTATACCCGGTATTCGTAGAGAAGGAATCATTTCCGACCCCATAAAGTATATATTCATTTTCTTGATCAGCAATGAACAAACGAGTGTATATAGATTTTTCCGTATGTCCGTATAAACGCTTGGATCTCAGAGACTATAAGAGATAGAGTTTAGGGATATAGGATATAGGATTTGGCTACCAAACTCTTTCTATAGTTAAAATATATCTGAATTAATATATATAAGGTATACCTATAAAGTATACCATATTTATTCTTGATCAGGATCACCTTCGGTGTTCATATGAGGATGTCCGTCCGTCCTTCTGTCTATTTTTACGCGAACCGGATATTACGCGAATAATAATAAAAATTCTGTCGAAAATGAGATAGCAGTGTTTAGATATTTACAAATCAATTGCTATTTAAATAATTTGTTTGATCGTGTTGCACGTGAGAATGCTATAGAATTTGGTATTTATATACAAAAATTTGATTAAAGTCTTAGTTTCGATTATACATTTAGAATAAAGTGAAAAGTAGTGCAATTGGGATGGATAATGTATGAGATCCATAATCAAAGATACTAGATTCTAAATGTATTGTAAGATTGCAAGATACTTTTCACACGTACATAGTTTGAAGAAGGTTCTACTGTAAATGCTAAGGGGTTTTCGTCGCTCTATAAGAATAATAAAGTTGCTGCATAAAGTTCATTTCCTGCTCGTCATGGATTTACACCTGTGTCAGGATACTAAGGTCTTAGAGGCGAATGACCGCCGAATTGCAGTTGCAGTTCAAATAGTCATAAGAAAGTCTACGTGGAGTTGGAAATATTTTTGGTGTGGTTATCAATTTGTAAAATTTCCAGTTGATGAATTTGCCGAATTGAACTAAACAAATTATCATTACATTCTTTACCAATGCTTAAATCGTGCATAGGTGTTCGGAAATATCAAACTAGGTACAGTGGAAAATTCCATTACTAGGCACAACAACTTCCAATCATTTATTCAAGGCGTCATGTTGCTATTCAGGTACGTAACACAACAAATCTATTCCTTAGACTTCTTCAGCCACTTGCATTTTTACTGTTACTAGCCAAAAACAAGTTTCGATAAGAACTAGATGTTAAAATATCATTCTTTATCTTAAAAACTATCTTAAATAGATTTTTTCGAGTTCGCGACTACTAAACATAACATAAAATAACATTAGTTTGCGATTCACGGGGGACTAGCTCCCAGACTGGCAAGAACTCTCAGAAATTTCTATAGTCAAAAATTCAACACGAGCTCGTGTTTAGAGAATACATCAATCTATATATCAATAAGTTATAGTATAATTAAATAGACGTCAGTTATAACAGATAGCGTATATTATTATTTAGATTTAATTTTTCGAGGTTCTTCCAAACAGATCATCGCGTCAATTCGATTGAAAGTCGATTCATTTTATGGTAACCCTACGGTGGGAAATGCTTATATGAAAGTCTACAAGCACTTTTAAATTAACTAGACTCCAATAAATGCAAGCTTACATAATCGTGCATACATATGTTTGGTTTAAAATTCAAAGTTTTTTTTCGTATCTGCGTAAGTAGTTTGAGTTCTAGTTATCACTATTAAAAAAAACTGGCATATGTATACGTAAACATATATAATATATGTAAAAACTTGTAGCACTATACCAAAAAATGTATAATTCTTGGGACAAGCTTGGTTTGCCGAAGTTTGCACTTTTCGTTGAGATTTAAATGACAGTTTAATTGTATTTTAGTATTAATGTCAGTTTATGCTATTGTTAAAAAATCGATAAATGGGGAACTTCTTACATTTATTTTTATAATATAAATAAACTATTATTCTTTTTATATTATTAAATTAATGATATATGGAAAATAGAAGGTTGCTGAGTAAGAATGAACCTCCCCATAGGGATTTACATATATGCAAACATACATATTTATGTATCAATGTAGTAGTTATATATTCTAGGGCCTGAAATTATATTGACTTACGTATCCACTTATAAACAAGAATAAATATATAATTAGAACCAGTTGATGTATTAGTATCTGTATGTAATTTAATATGTGGTCGACCATCCCATTACAATTCATTTATACTGCCCTATGTGCTAGGGGTGATTTTGGAATTTGTTTTCGTCTGGTTAAGCAATAATTATTACCTTGGTTTACTCATTATGGAGGTTAACTTTGAAAGAAAATTTAAGTTATCTGTCATTAAATAATTGGATAATTTTTGCAAATAGTTGTCAAGCCAAAATATCATCATAGTGATTTTTTTTTTGTAAGTTTATGGCTTTAATGTTCTGTAAAGCAAAAATAAGTCAAATATTTTAAAAGAAGTATAAAAATAGACAACAATTTTTCTCTGTTTAGGATTCATAATTTATATGCCATTTTACGTCACCACTGAAATCCATAAACCCATTCAAAAATAACTACCCTTGTTGACACATTAGAACGGTTTCTAATTGTACATACATAGACTATAGCTTAGAGTGTAGAATTGACTAGAAAACTCATAAATTCACAATCACATTTGATCACACTTAAAGCTAGTATTTAAAAATAGACCTACTTTGTAATGAGGCTCGGTTTATATACTGATTATACATCTCTTTCTAATTACTCCACACCATACATAATTAACCAAAGATGCGCGACCGGCGAGGCTTGGCCGAACATCATGTTGGCCTGCCTAAAGGGAAAGGCCTGCGACGAGGACGCCGAGAAACGTCCTGGGGAGTACTGCGGATCCACCCTGGCCTACGCCTACTTCGTATCGTTTATATTCTTTTGCTCCTTCTTGATGCTCAATCTTTTCGTGGCCGTCATCATGGATAACTTTGATTATCTGACGCGGGACTCTAGCATACTGGGTGCCCATCACTTAGACGAATTTGTGCGCATATGGGCGGAATATGATCCAAATGCGACGTAATTATCTGTTTAATATATACACATCTTATGAAACGCTTATAAAAAATTAATTATAATTATTAAGAGAATAATTATTCGAGACTTTTTTTAAACTCTATTTCGTACAATGAAGTGGGTTGATTTAATGTAAAGAAACCCATTCTGTTGTATAAGATAGACGAAATCTTTTCATTCCCATCGCTCTGTGTCATTCGGTCAAGCCTGTAAGCCTGGACTTGACCTTATATTAAATGATTATTATTTGATCGTATTTGATTCATACTCGATGGTCAACGGCAACGAGCTGACCCGGGATTGATAAGGGATGTCTTCGGCCGGGCCGAAAATGAACACAGTTTATATATTGAGTTGCCGACACAACTATCACTCCACTAATTTATACTGTGTACTTGGAAAAATAGAGGGAAAATACACTACACGGAAATGTACGATATGCTGAAAAACATGGACCCTCCATTGGGATTTGGAAACAAGTGTCCCAACCGCCTGGCTTATAAAAAGCTAATACGTATGAACATGCCTCTAGACGATGAGTTGAGAGTCCAGTTCACCACAACGTTGTTCGCTTTGATTCGGGAGAATCTTAGCATAAAAATGCGAGCGCGTAGGTTTCCTATTTCCCTCCACCTTTCTTAATGTCTTTTCCACTGATGCTTCTCTAAACTAACCTAATCTCTTTACGTGCGCAGCTGAGGAGATGGACCAGGCGGACATGGAACTCAGGGAAACCATCACTAACATATGGCCCCTGCAGGCGAAGAAAATGCTAAACCTGCTGGTGCCGCCTACTGACCAGCTGAACAAGGGGAAACTCTCGGTCGGTAAAATCTACGCAGGCTTCCTCATTTTGGAGTCATGGCGAAGTACGCGGTTTGGCCAGATTGACTCGGGAATGCCGGTAAGTTGTCCCTGCCCTCCACTTTTTACCCACACAGTCTACCGTTCTACTCTATTTACGTAGAGCCGAAGATGAGTCTTAAGACCCAGAAGACCCAATATATATGTCAGTCAGACTTATTCAGAGTAGGATTCCCAAAGCCACCATTAGGGGTAGCGTAAAGATAGGATTCCATGCAGGCAGAGTTACAGATCTTTATTTTGCTTTATTTTTAATTTGATAATTCCAAAATTTACCATTTTCATTTATCAATTAGACAATAATTTTAAGTGCTATTGATCAACTGGATAAGCAGACATATATTAAACAAGAAATGAGATAATTTTCATTGTTGGTAGATTAAGTCCCTTACCAACTCCACAACACTACAAAATATTCTTTAACATTTAAATAACTTGAAATAAATATGTGATATTATGATTTCTCTTCTCATACAATTTATAATAAACTCTATTTAAAAATGAAAAAAAACACACAATGAAAATTTATAAATCGAAATAACGAATACTATGCAGAACTGGAAGGAGGTATATAATTAAATTTATATGCAACCTCATGTTTATTACGTTTTTTGTATTTACAATACATATATGTTGCGCACATACATGATTCTTTTGTATGTGGAACAATTAACTAAGATAAGACATGATATATCCATATATCCAAATAGATAGAACATGTGAGATTAAAGCTGCCCATAACTTAATCGAAAATAGATTGAATTCATTCCTTATTCGTTGCATTTGAAAGTAAAGAAAATTATGGGCAGCTCCGAGGGATGCATCATTTTCTAAATCCTAAATCGGAATATTGAATATATAATAGTGGAAAATTGTACAATATACGAATAGTGGAAATGGTGGAAAACGTGGCATCCCCAATTTAAAAAAAGTAATCTTACGTCCAGTAATTTACAAAGTTGTCCAGTGCAGTAACGTACAGTACCGTAGAAGTCGAGTGTTTATTAGTAATACTTAGCTTTGACTAATTATATGTTTGATTCTCGAGTTAACGATTCATTTCGTTATAAGTAGATTTGAAAAAAGATAAACATACAATATAAACAAATCAAAAAATCGAAATATACACAAACATTGTTCAAAGTATTGAAGTTTGCCATTTGAGTTTGCACAATATAGATTGTTTGATCTACTACAACGAACTGCAGCCTTAATAAAGCATTCAAACCAAAGGCTTCAAACCAAACACATCCAGATGGGTAAAAATATTACCTGTCAATCTGATTATGTGCACAACGATTAATCATAGTTTTTATCTGTCATCTTGTTTCTGTGCACAATACACAAACTGGCCATTAACAATTCGTATTTTACTATTAAAAACAATTAATCAAATTAATAAATATACATATAAACACAATACTTACATAAATTGCCAATGGTAGCGGAAGAAGCAGGAAGACGATGACGAGCGAATTTATAGCCCGACCGCAATCGAGGAGCCGGTATATAATATTCTTAAATATGTATATACCCATTTATCTCTTTCGCTTTATTTTGCTTTCGCCTTTTGAAGCTCCTGGTTTTTCAAATGTTTTGCCGTACACTACTCTTGTATAAGTTACCACCATCTCGGCTAGAGGCATGTGTACATACTCCCCTAGGAATTCCGTGATAGGAATCCAGCATAAGCCTGACACCCACAAGTGCAGCCCTCTATAATCTTAATATACGCATATCTATATAATAAAATTCGTAGACGAACACCTAAAACAGTGCCTTTGCCATGTTTCTACAAAACACCCACTAGCCCACCACTTGCGAGTATGCTGATCATGAAATATCGTCTCCAATTTGCCTTGCTTCTATCGTCGATTCTTAACATTCAAGCCTAGACAACATTGCGTGTATCACAACTCACAACAGATCACTGACCTTTAACTCACACAAATGTTATATGTCAAATTACCATACAATGTTAAACCAATCCTTTACGTGGTAACTGGAAGACTATAACAACTGGTGTGATGTTAGCGATAAAAATATTTTTTCCCTAGTTTAATAATTTGCCTATTTACACTTAACACTGCTTATGCTAAAAAAAATCGAAAAATAAGCGGTACCGTAATCCCTATAAACCTTAATTAATTTGTATCGGTGTGGTTACCAGATAATGTCTTAAAACACGATCTTAGCTAGGCTTCTTCATCTCATCGAGCAATGCTAAATTAAAATTTAGTACAATGAATCGATACATGGACACAATCTAGTAACCTTAAAAATCTAATTAAATCTAATAAAGGTCGATAACTAAAAGTTAACTTTTGGCATAAACAAAATTTTTATTACAATAGATAATACAGATAATTATAACCCATTTGATATTGTACAATTAATTTAATATTGTTAGCTAAATACTAACACGGTTCGAGCTATGCATATTAAAAAAGAAACTAAAATTGATTGTCAGATATGTACTATTAAGAAATTTGGAAAAGAACTGTTACAACTTTTAGAACTTTGTAACTTTTACATTTTTCAGGATAGATCAATCTTAATATACAATAGGATAACGTGTTATGAAAAAAGTCTAGTTCATGAAATATATCTTATAGTTTATGCATGAAAGAAAGACTCCAGCAATTTCAAATGCCCAGAGTTAGCTCATATTTCTCGTATTACGCTTTCTAAAACCTGACATTTTTAGTATTTTTTTACACAGCACTGATTTTTGGAACGACTGTTGCACCAAAATATAATCTAAAAACCTTAAATGAGTCCTTTTTTGTATATGAAAAACTCTTAGAGTCGTTTAGCTATAAGATGGACGTGAAATAAACCTCCTAAATACAATTTTTGGAAAAGTCCAGACGGATGTAGTATGATTAGGCACATGTCCTATATTTATTTTTTTAACTAATTATAATTTGCAATTTAGTTTTTAAAACTTAAATTAAACTGCCAGCTGATTCGGCATGCTTAAAAAAGGAAAGCAAGCGCATGTAGAGAAAAAATTTGGGAAAAACATATAGCATATCTACTAGGAGTTATTAAATATTAGTACAATTCCATCATTTAAATTAGGTGACGTTATTTTATCTTCCGTACTTTTAAAGATTTGATTTCATTTATTTTGTGGTCAGTACAATTCGATCCGATTCAAAATCACATGTTTTGTCCACATTTCTATAAATTGGCACACGTACTAGTAATAACAATACAAATAACTTTAATAAATAATTCTTATAGCGCTAATTATTAGATTTTCTCCAAACCATAGTGAGTTGTAAATTGTTTGCGCATGCTAACCATATCAAGCAAGAATCTCTTTTAAGCTATTTTTTACATCTAATGCGAAAGCATCCAATACATTTTCTACCTCTTATGTAATACTTATATAATACAGACACGTTCCGCGTAGAGCTTAACACATACGAAATTGCTATAATCTACCATACTATATATTCTCTAATATATATAAAAGCATATTAAGGAATTAAGCAAATGCTACTTTCCCTATTATAAATAAATTTGTGCGTACATATGTATATACCCAATATTATGCATATGTACATATATGTAATATCTTAAATACTTTTGATTATTATTTGAATCTTCTTTTGATTTCTAATTCTTTATCAATTCTTACATTTCATATTTAATGCTTATGAAAAATAAAATTAATAACCAATCATAATGCGTTGCAATGTTACCACATGAATATTCACTTTTCACCCAATTAAACAAACCAATTGAATTGAACAAAATATCTGAACAAAAAACTGCATTCTACAATAAAACTAAAAATATATTACAACGAAACAAAAAAAACAAAATTAATATTCATGAAAACGAACACAAAAACGAAACAAACCAAACGACATCAAAAACGGAACTAAACGGAACGGAACTTCAATGGCACTTCAATATCAATGCAAATCAAATCCAATGCACTTTTCAACTGTCTACTATCAACGCCGAATCCGTGCAATCCGTAGAAACAGTCATTTTTTAACTGCCTCCTCGACATGGCCGCCCTTGACAAAGGAGGATCGCGTCAGGGTTCCATAAGTTTCGAGCCGAATGGGGAAGGAGCCGCCAACTCACAGACACATTTGTTAGCCAGCACGCACCACCACCACCTAAATGGTGATGCAGAACACAACAGTTTGGCAACACTAGCACGGCGGAGTACGATCAGAAAGCGATCAGTTAGGTAATTTAAACTGCTTCCTCTAAACTATATTCCGTAAAGTGCCAAGTACTATTGCCAGAGTACTATATTCACAAACAAAAAACCATCAGCACTCTTATCGCATCGCATTCGCCTTCACTCATTATTATCATTAATCAGACAATCAGTAATCGTCCATCGCATATCGACTATCGCTCATTACTAATTTCAGGAATTCGATGGCGAATAGGCAAGAGCTTCCCTCAGTTTGGATTTATATACTAAATCAATATTATAAGCAATATAAGCTAATAGCTACAATTAAAGTTATAGCTACATATATAACTCAAAAATTCAATGATATCGATTTCTCCGAAAACTCCCACACCAAATCCCTATTTATTACGTTGAAATAGGGTCTTACCTAATATTACAAATAAACAGAATTATATTCGATTTGAATGCATATTCCGTCTTACTTTCAGAGCTTAACCCCTTTTTATACCCTTGCAGAGGGTATAATAATTTTGTCCAAAAGTGTGCAACGCAGTGAAGGAGACATCTCCGACCCTATACAGTATATATATTTTTGATCAGGATCACCTCCTGAGTTGATATAAGCATGTCCGTCTGTCCGTCTGTCTGTTTCTCCGCAAACTAGTCTCTCAGTTTTAAAGTTATCGTCTTCAAACTTTGCACACACCCTTCTTTCCTTTGCACGCAGTATATAAGTCAGAGCGACCGGGATCACCCGACTATATCCTATAGCTGCCATATAACTCATTGATTGGAAATGGTATAACTTCAGTGTTTTTAAAGTTAGAGAGTTCAAATTTAACATGAGAGCTATTTTTGGCAAAATAATGCTAAATTGGCATGCTAAATTTCGTAAGGATCGGCCGACTATATTCTATAGCTGCCATATAACTGAATGAACGGAAATGACCCAACTTTCGTGTTTTTGAAGAAAGAAAGCTGAAACTTAGTACAGATTAAATTTTTTGTCAGTTAACCCAACATACTAAATTTTATAAGGATCGGCTGACTATATCCTATTGCTGCCATATAACTGATCGACCGGAAATGGTTTTTGGTAAAAATAACAACTTTTGTATTTTTGAAGGTAGAAGCTTGATACTCTGTTTGACCATTATTTTTTATAAATTGGTTATATTATGATATTCTCATAAGGATCGGACAACTATATCCGATTTTTTCGAAATATATCCGGTTTTAACTGCAAGGGTATATCAACTTCGGCTCCGCCCGAAGTTGGCTTTCTTTTCCTGTTTTTTATTAGCATGGTAAATATGTGTTGATCTTTTGCGATCCCATAAAAAAAAATATTCGTCTATTTCTCCATTTGAACATTACATTCATACATACATAAATTCATAAATGTACGTAGGTCTTAAAAGATTAGAAAGTTTTTGTTTAAGCATTACAATATACACAAAAAACACAGAAAAAAAGAAACAATTAAAATTTTACCTGACACAAAAACAATCAATTATCAATACTAACAGAATTTTCAGCTTTTGTACATTCAACATTGACATAAGTAAATTGTTTTTCTTCTAATTTTCAAATATTTCAGAAACAAAAAGGTGAATAAGTTTGATAAACTCCAAGCGGTAAACCAAAATTAAATTATCGAAGACTCCAATACATCAGAATAATTAATCATGTATTATATAAATATATGTGAATACTCTTTGTGTCCATAATCCGTTTCCGATATAAATGTTGTTCGCAAACCAATTAATGAAGTAAAACACTAGTACTTTTGAATATATACTCACTATAAGTATATGATGGGAGTACGTGCTGGCCATCTTCTTGAAAGTTCTAGATAAGTATCTGGAAGTACACTTTGCGTAGATACACACAGATATTATAATCGTAGATTAAGAGAGTCCAGGACGTACTTCGAATCAAGCCTACTATAAGTCTCCACTTTGCGTTAACTTAATTGTTCAATATATACTCGTACCTAAATGTTGCATAGCAATTTTTGAAAGCGTTAGAAACGCCAATCTTGCCTTAGTACTCGTACTTAATGTTGTAATTTGATCGTTGATCGTTCTCCACACACATGTACATGTACTCCTATGTACGTAGAGGCGGTTGTTTGGTGAGCAAACTCTTAGAGTCGTAACAAACTGTCGACAAAAAGAAAAGAGGTCCGATATACAAGTATGTACCGGTCCGGCCTTCCTGATCCTGATCCTTTCCAAGCGATTCTCAAACCATTCTGTCGGATTCAACAGGCTCTTTGCTGACTTAGAAGGCAACTGTGGCTTTTAACCGATTTCCTATTTCCTTCGGGATCCCAACTTCCTCGACCTTTAAGCGGCTACATGCCTTGTAGTGTTTGTCTCTTGGGAACCCTTGAGCTTGCGATACTCAACACAAATTAGTTGGTCAGGCCCTCACTTGCAAAAACTAACGTAAAACTAGTAATGAAAACTCGTAATTTTTGAACCCACATCTCAACAGCGGTGTATGGTTAGCACTCACAATCCCGCATCTTCGACCGGCACATATCAATTCATTCATTCATGGTTGGGTCCGCTCGGACTCAATCCTTCATTCACAGATCACAGAGACTCATAAATACGTCCCTAAAAAGCCGATCATTTCTATCGTTACCCGAGTTCATACCAGCTTACTCAGTTGGCGGTTCTAACTCTTTTTACCTTCACAAATGTGTACAGTAACACAAGTAAATATAGGAAATCTTGAACTTCAACGGAGTTATAAGTTTTACCAACACCAACAGTAGCTTAACTAGAGTTTCTTTCCATAGAATTAAATAAAAACTCTATTTTGGCAAAAATATTACGCAGATTACTGCTCAAAAATCTTAACTGAATTAAGTTTGACTTTTGATTTCAAGCGCTATGTTTTCATAGACAAACACTCCTGCAACATATTTCCACTATGACTCGACTTAATCGAACTACATGGAGTTACGAAAATTGTGATCTTTGCTGGAAATACACTTCGCGTCCACTGCAGGACACTGACGATTTCCTTCTGAACCCAAAGTTTCATGGACCGGACTGTATGAATTTAAGCATTGTCGTGTTGGAAATGCCATTTCGGATTCCCAAAAAAGTTTTTAAAAACGTAATTGCGCTATTTAAAACGCAATTGTAATTGTCTGCATTCAGGTTTATGGTTAAACACTGGAGTTTTCAGTTGCCGTAATGGGGTATGGCACCCCATACCATCACTCTTCTAACCCGACTATGCAAGCGATCCAGTTTATTTATTATCGTCCTTACGTAGAAATAGTTTGGCATAAAAAAGTTTTCAAAAAAACCTTTTTGTACTGGCGCTACAGAAATTCGAGATTTTTGGGTGTGGGAGGTGGCGTGGCAAACTTTTGAAACAAACTTGAACTGCGTGGACATTGGGTATTTAGTCACTTTTTCGTAGTAGGTAAGTTCCAAATCAATTGAACAGTGATACAGGACCTGACTTCCACCCAAGAATACACCATACTTTTATCAGAATACGATTGCTCACGTCTTGCATGTCTGTAAATAAATAAAATTCATTGAAAATATGCCTAGCATAGAAATTGTAACCATACTATTGTTTTGCTTTAAGAACCTAGTGCTTTATTAATAAACCGCCTGCTTAACTTTGTACCATTGTAATTTTTGTAGAAAGTAGCACCATCTTCACCTATTTATACACCAATGATCGCGTAATATTTATTTTGATGTACTTTAAGTTATCCATTTGGTTTTTTTTGTATACAAATATAGGACAAAATTCCAAAGGGTATCGAACAATTGGCACTTCTTGAAATTCAAAAAGAGTTTACAAGTAAAAACAAAAGTCTGAAGTGAATATATATTTAAAAAAAAAATATGAAACACACGAAAAACAAATATCCAAAAGCTAAGCTACTTAACAGTAAATATTTATAGTATATATGTACGCCAAAGTAGTGTTTGGAATTGTTTAAATGTTATATGACCCATAATAGGCTTAAACAATATTTTATACAATATAATCATGCATTGAGAACCTTTTAATTCTTCAATCTAGTATAATTAAGTTCGCATTTGAATATTTATTTTGTTGCAGTGCAGTAAAATTTGCTTTTATTTGATTAATATACCGTATAACCCCTCCCGTACAACAAATCTTATCGCAAAGTAAACATACATGTCTCAATGTATATTTATTTTGTAGCTTTGTATACCTAGCCACATTCATTTATACTCGCTCCTGTATGGGGTATGGGCCATTTGTAGTACCTATTAAACACATATGTGAGAAGATATACCTATAAGAAATAGTTCAATGAATGAATCCATGAGAAATCGGTCAAGAGGAATTTCAAATTAAAAATCACCTTTTTGATCCGCTACCTGTCAACCCAACCAATAATTAAACCAAAAATGTTTGGACTGATTTCGAATGGTAGCATTCATGTTGAAAAAATTTATATAGAAATTGGTTTTTCAAACTTTTTTGACTAGATGCTGGAGCTCCAAGACGCGTCGCGGCATCCCTCGCAGGAATCGCTCACAGGTGCCGATGCTAGCCATTTACACCCTGGACATTCCTACATGAATGGTCATCGACAATCGCCGAGTTTAAGGTAATGCCAATGATTCTAGCCCCGGGCTCAGGCTCATTTCAAAAATTACTTACAGGCATAACGGCTCTCCGCTCGCCAGATCGCCGAGCCCTCGAAGGCGTGGCCATCAATACATACATCATGATATCGGGTTCTCCGATACCGTATCTAATGTCGTAGAGATGGTCAAGGAGACTCGTCATCCTAGGCATGGCAACAGCCATCCGCGGTATCCCAGAGGTATTTCTTGGATTAAAATAATTTGAATAAAAAAACATTCCTTTTATGTGTGCTGGTTGTGCCGAACCCTCAACCCTTTCATGTCTTATCCAAATTAGTTTGTCCGCATTCCATGTCATTTTGAATTTTTCGGATTATCGATGAGCACGTCATAACCAGGAACTTGGCAGTGCCAGGGGTTTTTTAATCTATTTTGTAGTTCTAGTGAGATTCAGATATTTATGTCTAAAAACCCATAGTCATAAATGAACTATTTCAGTATTAATATATATTCCAATAATAATTAGTTTGGTTTTTGAGTTCGATTCTTTTGATTTATTTCCAACTCAACCGCAAAGCCAAGAGAAAACGAATTCTATATACAATATTGCAAACATAAAATATGTAAACTGTTTTGCCCCGACATCCTTAATTATTACTTTTTTATTATTGTTGTTGTATGTACGATTTAGGTTCATGGTCAGCATCGACAAGTCCAGCCCGTTCGCCGTCGCCTTCTCGTTACGGTGGTCATTTGTCTCGCAGTAAACGCACTCAACTGCCTTATCCCACATATGGGACAACCAGTCTATGTCAAAGGTCACGATCGCCGAGTCCCGCTCGACTTCAGGAGATGCGTGAACGAGACAGACTTGGTTATGGGATTAATATGGGTACATTTTTAGCATTTTTTTTATCTAAAGCCCAAAAAGATCAACGCAAAAACTCTTAAAATCAAATCAACTCAAATTAAACTCAAATTGTTTTCTATATATGCTAGTACTTCTTTCTACACAAATTTATTCAACCATTTCAACTTCTAAATACAGACATCAGATCAGACATGCTTACTCGCATCAATTTCGTATTCGCACCAAGTTGCCGAATATGTTTATGTATTGTCATGCCCGACGTTCAATCAGTTATCAATCAATCAATCAATCAGTTATCAGTCCATCATAAGCTTCAAATAATTGAATAGTTTCTCATACATCTCACACAGCTGTTCAAATCATTCAGATCTCCGATCGTCACATCGAAATAAATATTCAATTATCTGTAGTCGTACTCTGTTAATCTAGCAGCGTTCATTATTTTCATTTCTCTAGATGCTATTCTCGTTCCACCTACTTATATTATAATCACATCTTGTACTAGTATGTACAGACATTCATCCTCATACTTTGACAAATACACCGAAACGGAGTCTCTGTAAAATTAAATGATTTTCGTAATGGTAGATAGAATACTAATACAGTCAAGGTTTTGGCGAGGGATTTACCAAAAGGGATATTCTACACTGGATTGCTTTTTATCCAAACAAAAAGAAACAAAACAGCTTAGAGCGCCTGAGTCTTTTGACGAGTAATTCTCTTGGGGAGCGTAACTTATCAGGTTTTTAATTTTTTTTTAATATATATTCTGTGTTTGTGTATATTAAAAATATCAAAGCTTTAACCATATATCCTTTATAATTTTTTGCAGGGACCGTAAATAATGATTATGAGTTTAAAAAAATTAAATCCCAAAACAATCTCCAAAAAAATTGGAAAAAATTGTCATAAGTTAAATTTTCATGGCGAATTCAAAAACACAATTAATTTTTTTTTCAATTCTTATGAAAAAAAAAGGATTTTTAATTATTAAAATTAATTTTAATAATAAAAAATTAGTAATATTTCAATTCATTTGAATGATTAATAATTTAATGAACTACTCTTTCTCAATCGTCGCAACAATACCTGGTCGAAATAAATATTGGGACACTTTATTTTTATACCCTTGCAGAGGGTATTATAATTTTGTCCAAAAGTGTGCAACGCAGAGACATCTCCGACCCTATAAAGTATACATATTCTTGATCAGGATCACCTCCTGAGTTGATATGAGCATGTCCGTCTGTCCTTCTGTCCGTTTGTCCGTCTGTCTGTCTGTCTGTTTCTACGCGAACTAGTCTCTCAGTCTTAAAGCTATCGACTTGAAACTTTGCACACACCCTTCTTTCCTTTGCACGCAGTATATAAGTCGGAACGACCGGGATCGGTCGACTATATCCTATAGCTGCCATATAACTGATTGATCGGAAATGGTATAACTTTGGTGTTTTTAGAGTTAGAGAGTTCAAATTTGACATGAAAGCTATTTTAGGCAAAATAATACGACGTGCCAAATTTCATAAGGATTGACCGACTATATCCTATAGCTGCCATATAACTGAACGATCGGAAATGATCCAACTTTCGTGTTTTTTAAAATAGAAAGCTGGAATTTAATACAGATTCTATTTTTGGTCAGTTGATCCAACCTACCAAATTTCATAAGGATTGGCCGACTATATCCTATAGCTGCCATATAACTGATAGATCGGAAATGGTATAACTTTGGTGTTTTTAGAGTTAGAGAGTTTAAATTTGACATGAGAGCTATTTTTGGCAAAACATTACGTCATGCCAAATTTTATAAGAATCGACCGACTATATCCTATAGCTGCCATGTAACTGAACGATCGGAAATGCTTCGTGTTTTTGAAGAAAGAAAGCTGGAATTTAAAACAGATTCTATTTTTGGTCAGTTGGTCCAACCTACCAAATTTCATTAGGATCGGCCGACTATATCCTATAGCTGCCATATAACTGAACGATCGGAAATGGTATTTGGTAGAAATATTAACTTTCGTATTTTTGAAGATTGAAGTTTGGGACTTTTTTTAGATTTTGTATTGTAATAAATTGGATTATATATTCCTATTCCCATAAGGATCAGCCAACTATATCCGATGTTTGCGATATATATACGGTTTTAACTGCAAGGGTATATAAACTTCGGCTCCGCCCTAAGTTAGCTTTCCTTTCTTGTTAAAATAAAAGTTATCGAATAATTTTTATTTTCCAATTTATCCAATAAAAATTGAAAATAAAAGTTATTGCGTAATTTTTATATAAAAATTGATACATAAAAATTATTACTAATTTTTTATTATTAAAATTAATTTTAATTATTAAAAATCAATTTTTTTTGTAAAAATTTAGAAATAACTTTTATTTTGTAATTTTTTGCTTTTTTAATTATAACCGTTACAGTCCCTGATTTTTTGATCAGTATTCTTCAGATACCGAGTTAAGTAATTTTTCCAGAGTGACAGAGCCGCTTAACCTAATATTAATACTAATACTAATACTTTAACTAATATGAATTTTATAACAATACTGTAAAAAAATTTAAAAGTTTATAAAACTCTTTCACATTAAGTATTATCTATCAACAGAATACAATGTATGCAAGATACGTTTATGAAATATAATAATAATCAATAGGTCAAGCTCAAGAATCAATAAAATTAATCCTTAAAATATATAAATTGTACTGTTCAAAATGATGAGAACTGCTACTATGGTACATAAACTACTATTGTACATACATACATAGAGTATATAAGATTAACCTTTAAGGACCTTTGACCATCATAGTCTAAACTACTGACCAAGAATCTTTATTTCAAACTTAATTTGTACAGGAAATCAGCCAGGCAGGCTCCAGGCAGTAACGTGCTCCCATGTTCGATTTCATATTACCCATCCTCATTTAAAATCTAATAGTAATAAAACCCAAGCTCTATCTTCAAAAATACCAAAGATGGTACTTCTACCAAAAACCATTTCCGATCGTTCAGTTATATGGCATGTATAAGATATAGTCGGCCGATTGTTGATAAATTTAGTAGGTCGGATTAAATGACCAAAAATATAATCTGTACTAAGTTCCAGCTTTCTATCTTCAAAAACACAAAAGTTGGGTCATTTCCGATCGTTCAGTTATATGACAGCTATAGTATATAGTTAACCGAACCTTATGAAATTTGGTAGGTCGTATTGTTATCGTACATATATTATGCCAAAAATAGCACTCATGCAATCCAAACTCTCTAATTCAAAAACAACAAAGTTACAGCATTTCCGATCAATCAGTTATATGGCAGCTATAGCATATAGTCGGCCGGTCCCGGCCGTTCCGACTTATATACTGCGTGCACAGAAAAGAAGGGTAGGTGCAAAGTTTCAAGTCGATAGCTTTAAAACTGAGAGACTAGTTTGTGTAGAAACAGACAGAAGGACAGACGGACATGCTTATATCAACTCAGGAGGTGATCCTGATCAAGAATATATATACTTTATAGGGTCGGAAATGTCTCCTTCACTGCGTTGCACACTTTTGGACAAAATTATAATACCCTCTGCAAGGGTATAACAAGAAAGTAAAGCTAACGTTGGCTCCGGCTGGATGTAGTCGACCGATCCTAGTGAAATTTTGGAATGCCGTATTATTTAGCAAAAAATCCCAACACTCCATCTCTAAAAAAGTGGCAAAACGCACACATGTTTAAAATTTGAGTGTATGCACAGCAAAAAAACAATGAGAGCAGAGCATTTACTGAGCGAAAAAAACGTAGAGCTCATGGGTATATTATACCCGTGTGAATGTAAGTAACATAGAGAAGGAATCATCTTCGACCCCATAAAGTACATCTATTCAAAAAGTATGAATCATAAAGTATATATGTATATTATTGATCAGCATCAACAGCCGAGTCGATATAGCCATGTCCGTTTGTCCGTATGAAGACGTCGATCTCAGAGATTATATGTTAAGAGATAGAGCTATAGCATGGAGATTCCTACAAAGCCCGCGCAGTTCAAGTTTTTTTAAAAATTGCCACGCTTCCTTCCACTTCCACAAATCGCGAAACTCTGTACCGCCAGTACAGGAAGGTTTTTTGAAAAACTTGTAGGGTGTAAATATAGATTACGCATTAAGGTATGACTATTGAAGAGCATTATTAGTTTGCCAATTAAGCTTTTGGTTATGTAAAAAGGCATTTTTTCCTGGAAATGCCTTATTTTTGTTTTTAGTTGGTGTTTCGTGTGTGACAGATTTCAATTTTAATCGATTGAATTGAAAAAGGTTTCAAAAAATGTGATTTTTGTTTATTAATTGAAGTAAAAAGCTGTTTATGCGAGGAGGGGAATCTAAAGGAATCGATGTGTGTGAAACCTTTAGCGCAACACTCTACCATTCGGCCGCAAACAAAAAAGGTGTGAAACTCGGTTGAATTCACAGTGAATTTGGGTTATTAAAACTCAGTAATAGTAAAGCACTGTAGCCTGCCTGTAATACTCGAAATAAACCGACAAATTTGTTTAATACATTTGTTGTAGGTTTCTATACGGTTTAAGTGGTGCAATTACTTTGAAAAATAATTTGAGATGCAGTTCTGGGTTTCCGCGGTTTGATATTTTTCCAAATTGACATGACCTCTCCTTCCATGTACGTGCGTCTTGACATTAGCACCTTTCGTTCATCCTGGTTTTATTCGTTTTGTTATCCCATAAACTCACTATACCACGGCTGTGAATAAAACTTTCTTTAAAAAAATATCGAAGTCTATCCAAATCTAAATATTATGTTTCCGAAGGTTCACAGTCGTGTTATAGATATATATATTAAAACTAAACAGTCATGCATGTCACTTACTAGTTAAATATAAACAAACACTCTTTCAATCACCGGATAAATTATTAATATACACAGTACCTTATAAATGCAATCACTATTGTTACTATTCAGTATTTTGCCGATTCAATGCATTTGAAATGTCACGTTGCTAAAGGTAGATAGATTAAATGTTTTTCGGTTCCATTACGTCATAGGCTAATGGGTTTTAAATGGGACATGTTACGGCCATGTACATATAATAATGCATGTCCCATTAGAAGCAGTGCTGTGTATAAAGAGGCTAAGAATCCTGTTCAAGTAACCGAATCAAAAAACTTCCTTGGTCAATTTGCAATCTATAATGTTTGTTCGGTGGATAAAACCCGATTCTTGGCCAGAAGTTTGTTTCGTATACTACTTAAAATTGTTGAAACATTGCGCCACTTCCTATTCAGTTTAGAGGCAGTGACCCAGTCCTAACCCAATACTTTGTGTTCCCACAGGTGGAACCCACGTGCAGCACAGCTATCCCACACTGGCATCCCGTCGAGCCGGCATCGGACGGCGGCTACCACCTACTCCGAGCAAGCCATCTACTTTACAGCTCAAGCCAACCAATATTAACTTCCCAAAGCTGAATGCAAGTCCCACGCATGTAAGTACCGTCATGGTAGGCTTGAACCAGCAAGGACCCTCTATAATCCTCTATTTTTGCTTCCAGACGCACCACTCGACACCCCACAGTGTTCATTCGTTGCCGCACCACCGCGATCTTCTAAGGGATCCAAGAGACGTGTACTATAGCAGTAGAGACCGTGAGCGTGACCGAGAGCGCCTTAGGGACAGAGACAGGGACCGGGACAGAGACCGGATCCACGAGTACGACCTGCGCTACGAGTACCGGGATCGGGAGCGCGAGTTGTACGAGCGCGAGAGGGATCGCGAACGGGAAGTAGAAAGAGAAAGGTAAGTGACATGATAAATATAAAAGGTTCAAAAAAAAGTCCTAATGCGTTCCTCTCATTAGACTGGAATACATAGCCCCGCTGTCGTTTGAACAGGCACTGGCTATGGGCCGAACAGGTCGTGTACTGCCATCTCCAGTCCTTAATGGTTTTAAGCCAAAGACCGGACTAAATACTCGACACTCCGATTCGGATGAGGAGGATTGGTGCTAGCAAAGGCTTTGATTGCGATCGCGTTATCGAAAGGATCAGATCTGGGTATAGCATCAGGCCATTTGCTCATCAATTTCAGCACCGAATTTAGATCACAATTTTGATACGATAAAGCACGGATACAGACATCACAGTCCGCGTCCCGCACCTCAAATTTACCAGCATCCCATGCATTTGCGTCACGCCAATACAAACTTAAACGCAACGACATCAGCACCTGCAATATCTTCTTCAAAAAGGATATTGGCTAGAAAAAACGTACAGGCATTTAACCCGAATCGACAACCGCAATCGCAACAACAGAAATCGAAAAATCAGCTAATACAGCTGCACCAGAAGCTTCAGCACCACGAAATACCACAGAAATTTGAATGGAATGGACTCGAACCCTTAGCAATGGCATACTCGTTGCCAGAAACAAGAGTAGCATCGCCTCATTCTGATATTGATATCGAATTCAATAAAAAGTTAATAGGAAAAGGCAGAAATAAATTAAACACAGCAAAACCAATGAATAACACGAACGAAAATGAAGCAATGATATTAGGCGTACCCATTAACATAACGTCCCCTGTAGCTATTAAAAAGATTTATTCAGATACAGAAATTACTTATAATTACGAGATAGACAATGTTAGACTAGAAAAGGGAGCACTTCATAAGTATCACCAACCGGATCATACTATCCCAAAGCAGCGAGTAGAACCGCACTACCTGCAGTGTTCGTACCATACGCTTTAGGGGAACCAGATACCAATAGATCTCCCACATGTCCTAGCCTAGCCTAATATTAAGTGAATGGGGTCTGAGAGTGTGGGCTATTGAAAAGCATGGATATGGATAAGGACTATAAATAGGAATAGGGGTAGAGTACACATTGTCATTACATGACGGATAACGATAAACAACTCTTCGAAGTATAAACGAGAGAAAAATATTGTAGGTACACGCATAAATTTTAAGATATCTAGAGTATAGCTCGATTTATCTTTAACCTGCAAGAGTTTTTGTCTTGTTTGTATTTAAAGTTGGTAATTCAATTATGTACATGTAAAAGGAAAATTATATATTCATTCTGTGTACATACCACCTTTATGTAGGAATCAAATTTTTGGAAGAAATGTATTTACTTACAACTATGAATATACTTATATATACCTTCTACCAAACGAACCCGATACCAAATATTTATTGATTAGCAAGTGAGCGCATTTTGATCCCATAAGGGTTATAATTAATTCGTGTACGTCCGAACAGACCGGATGGACTAATTTGATTAATACAACTCCAAAATTAATAAGATATACAACTTTATATTACTCTCATAAATTTAAATAGCATTCCTTACTGCAACCCGCATACCCATCTGTGTAAAGTGTACAAAACATAGTTAAATATTTGCCTCATCCACTCCATATGACTGTACAGGCCATAGTGATAAAAAGCAGTGAATCCATGAATCATCATAAATCGAATTCAAAGTGCTATATCCACTTCTTTGATCTTTAAATGCTTTATCAAAGTAAAAGTGTTGTAAAAATTACGCTTTAAGCTAGTTTTTGTACTTCTTGAATTTTACGAATGCCTTAACTAGATCACACAGAGCCAGTGGGGAAGGTTTGTCCTTCGGACGGAACCGAAGCTTTATAGCCTTGCAATTTTTCCAATAAGTTAAATATATTTGCTTTGTTCTGATCAAGTTTTTTGCGGCTTTGGGATAAAGTGGTCCGATCTGAAATAATTTTATCCCAAATCAATTAGACCTGCGACTGATTTGGCATCTATTCATACTACAAATGCCTGGAAGGATATACAATTGCGAGGGTCCAGTGGATGTGAGTGGGTATCAAAATAGATAATAACATTTTCAAATCATACATGTACGCAGGATCAGGCACCCAAAATAAACGAAACCAGAGAAATGTTTAGTCACATCCCGAATCAAAACCAATTAGGCTATAAATAGACAAATCGTACATCTTTAATGGGGATATCGAAGAGCGCACAAATATTGTAATTTAAACAAATGAATCCATAAGTTAAGTGAACTAAATACGGCTAAGTTACGTAAATTTAAACTCGGAATTTATTTAAGATTCCACATGTGAATAGCATTTTAGAGTGGGAAAGAACACATTTGAACAAGAGAGGAGAGGAAAGTTAGCTTCGGGTTCCAATGGAGTTTGTACATTCAGCCTTATCGGTAATTTCGATGGCCCCAATACATTTTTTATTCGTAACTTCTTATTATTACTTCCCATTATGTTAATCGGAAAACTATGTATATTAGATTATATGTACATAGCTCCCTAGACAATGGTTCAAGGGCTACTTTTACACTTCTTATAAATTTTTTTATTAAATTAATCTATTAATTAATCTTCAAAAATTTACTTCTAGTGTTTTCAAATTTTCACAATTTACAGCTTCTTAAAAAGCGATGTTATTCATCAAATATCCAACAGCTTTAATAAGATAAGTACGTATTTCATAAAAATTAGATGCAAGGGTATACAAACTCTAGAATCTGCCAAAGCCAGCTCTCTTTCTGACTGTATGCTAATATCTTACGGATTATGACAAATTATTTTCATGATGGAATAGAAAAAGTCGTGTGGTTTTTTTTTTCTAAAGTTGTACTTGACGAAAAACTATTGGGCTATTTTTATTCAAGTCCAAATCCTCAAAAATATCACTAAAAATTCCCAATGGGAGCAGGTTAATTGCTAATTACGAGGCTAATTGCTACTGATGCCTTTATGGGAATCGTTTAGTTAGTTTATTGTTTATGTAATAAGTCCACTTAATACAAAGTAGCTCATCAAAAAGGGATAATTGACCCCCGTTATACTTTACTAATATATCATTATCAAAAGTTTTAGTGAAATCGTCATCAAAGTAGAGGGTAATATATATATTTAGTTAGAAAATGGAAAATTTGAAGATATTATACTTTGCCCCTAACCGATTTACCAAATTTTTTGGGCAAAATTGCAGAGGTCTCGACTTCAATAGGAACAGAAGCATCGTCGGGATGAGGTCCTTGTGCTTCAGGAAGAAAAAGTCGGGCCAGAAGGCAATAGGCTGTTCAAATTGTAAACCACGTCCCTCCATCTACCAGACTAGATGCCAAAAACAAAGTATCCTATACACAAATATTTATATGACAATGCTGCGTCGATTGTTCGACTTCGATTGTTCTTCCAGGTTCTGCGTTACTTTCTCACACCAAACCAATTTCCCAATCCTCCAGATGCTCCTACTCCTAGTCCCAGCAAGGTCCGAGGGGTAGAGGTGGGACCCGTGTTGATGATCCGCAATCACTCGAGGTTCAGGAAAGTCGGGACTGGCTTCAGAAGGTCCTCTTCCCAGTGTTCATTCTCACGTGTTACATGTGGCTTATAAACTTGAAATTGGTCTGAACTTGAGCCATAAGTTAGCTATTTTTCCTGCTTACTGTCTGGCTTGAATGGTCGCTAAAGATACTTAAGTAGCTATACTTTTTTTTACAAATCGTCTAGATTCAAGGTGACATAATGAATAAAAACTAACAGGTACAGCTAAAGTGTAATAATAATGCGTAGACATAAATATATATATATATATATATATACATGATAGGACCTATAAGTAAATATTAATATTAATATTGTATCTTAATCTAGATATACGAGGTAATGTACACAGTTTAATTAATTATTAAGAGACGCTAGAGTTAATTAAACTATATATGTATGTAACTATAAAGATGACTTGTAATTTATGTACAAGAAATACATACATACACACATATATAATAACATAAATACCTGCCTTCAACAAATTTGTTAATAAAACTATTAATACTTTCTTATTTTACGTAAAGTAAAGGAATTACATAATAATAAAAAAACATTGAAAGACAGAAAAATTAAATACATTTGTTTCACTTCCGAATTAATATTTATTTTTTAAAAACCGTATACCTTTAATCTTAAAGCCCTCAAAGATTGTACCATATTTAACATCTTTTTTTATTTGTAAATAACTATTTTTCTTTAATGAAAAATAATTTTACTATATTATACCCCGATGCGTTTTTGGATTTTGGTTTTTGGATGTTTTGGATTACTAAAAGTAATCCAGTGTGCCACAAGGCACATAAACAATACATTTTTCTTTTTGGAAATGCATTTTATTTTAATAAAGAGAACTTTCATTTATTGAGCGCGTGACAAAATCTTCAAAAACTTTTCTTTAAAATATTTTCTGACAATAATTAATTTGTCAATAATTTAATTTAAATTTTTCATTAAATTTTAATACCTTGATGTCGGCCTGAAAACCTAAACTTCAAATTAGAGTGGCATTTACAATAATAGTTTATGACAAATAACTTGGCATTACAAGTTTGAAAGATTGTCCACAACACCCCAAATAAGTTGAGTAGAAATGCAAATAAATTACTTAATTTAATTTCATAGATTTTAATGTCAGTCGCATAAATATAATAACGCATATACATATGTATGTCTCTATAAACAGAGAATATTAAAGGTACTGTTCAATGCCCAGAGGGGGGGTAGTACCACTCGTAAGTAGTACCACTCGGGGTAGTACCACAGGAGTGACCTATTAAGAGAACTGGACTGGGTATTGGTGGTGTGTTTTTCGACGGGGAGCCCTAGCAAGGCCAGAAGGGGCAGGGATGGTAGCAGGGATGGTAGTGTAGCCCTACAGTTCACGACAATAGTTCAACCCCTGAAAAGAAGCCAGCTGACTGGGGGACATGCGCAATGATGGATGACTGGCATGTGAGAAACAACTGGCACTGTGAGTACATATTGATTTTAGGGCGTTTGTTCAGTAGCTGCAACAATTGTCGTTGGCAATGTCGGCTTTCTAGATCCAGAACTGCAGCATTAAGGGACACTCCATCTCGATGATAAGTTAGCACTAGAAAATAGCTCTTTTATCCCGATAATTGCAACATTAGCTATGTACGTAATTGAGAAAGCTGACATCAGCGTCTAGTCCCCGGTACCACTGGGCATAAGGCGACTTGCACCATTCCCCACAGAGTCCCACACAATTAGGAGATTAAAATTGCCTTATGCACTAGCTATCCATAATGGAGATACCAATTTCGAATATACTACTGCTGTGCTTGACCTTCCTGCTTATTGGCGGGGTACTAATGATTCTTCTGCAGTACTTGCTTTTCATTAAATTCTCTAACCTTCCCGACGAAACCGAGGAGCAGAAGCAGATGAATGCCAAATACTCGTTGCCACTGGTAGGTACACACTCCTTTACTTAAACTTTCAGTATCTAATTTTTTGTTCTTGAAGAACATTAAGCAAACAGCACGAAAGCTGAAGGGACTGCCCAATATCAGCCCTGGGCCCGGCAATGGGTGCGAAAATCGGCAGAACACTCTGGAAGGAGCTTCGGCCCTCATATCGCTTAACTTTGTAATGCAGTTCCTCTTTCATGAGTTCAGAAACTCTAACCGGGTGCGCAAGTGGTTCTACCGGAAACTGTCGATCGAACTGGACGAGTTAATAACAAAAACGACTACGGGAAAGCTTCTTGACAAGCTTACAGTAATTAAAGTCTCAAATGTTAAAGCCAGGATCTAAAAACCTGTGTCCTTTTAGATCAAGGAGCTCGAGTTGGGAGACCAGTTTCCAGACATCAAATCCCTTTCTGTTCAGAACGTTGAGCTGGACAAAGGGGAGAATCGTATTGAGAACTTAGACCTGCTATTGGATATAAATTATGTGGGAAACTTTTCCACTTCCATCGATGCCGACATGGTCCTGGGCAAAAAGGGTTCTATTATGTTGAAAGGTAGGTCATAGGAGTTTAGTTTGGAAACCAAATAACTTTAAATTTTGTGTATTGGGACAATTCGCATTTTAAACGTTTAAATGAAATTATTCAATTCATTCTTATTCCTAAAACTAGCTACAAAAAAGTATAGATAACAAGAAAGGAAAGCTAACTTTGGGCTGAGCCGAAGTTGATATATGTACAGTTAAAACCGGAAATGTATCAAAAAAATCGGATATAGTTGGCCGATCCTATATCATGGCCGAGAATATCATAATAATAGACGAATTCCCAAGCTTCTATCTTCAAAAATAAAAATGTTGGTATTTTTACCAAATACCATTTCCGATCGTTCTGTTATATGGCAGCTATAAGATATAGTCGGCTGATCGTTATGAAATTTTATAGGTCGGATCATTCTATCTTTAACACAAGAGTTGGGTCATTTCCAATCGTTCAGTTATATGGCAGCTATAGGATATAGTTGGCCGATCCTTTTTATATTAAGGTAGTCGTATTATTTTGCGTATTTAAAAATAGCAGTCGTACAAAATATGAATTCTCTAAATTTCCGACCAGGTATGTGGCTGTTATAGGATATAGTCGGCCGATCCCGGCCGTTTAGACTTACATACTGCGTGCAAAGAAAAGAAGGGTGTGCAATGTTTTGAAACGACCTTTTCATTTTTTGTTTATTTTATAAATTTATTTATAAAATAATCTAGTCAGAATATCAACTATTTAAAGATTTATTAGACGTGTGTGTGACGTAAATATTATGTTTTAACCTATTTTATGACGTGTTTGTTAACACTTTGGTTGTATATATTTCTTTATTTTACATATTTCTATATTTTTTTATATTTTACTATCTGTTACATTAAACAGAGTTGTATGAAAATGATTTATTTTTCTAGTTAAACAACTGTCCGGCATGGCGCGTCTGCAGTTCACAAGGAAACCTTACACGCATTGGTCCTTAAGCTTCTTGGGTGACCCAGAACTGATCCTCGATATTGAGTCCAAATACCAGGGACGGCAGATGCAGTCGAACATCACCAACCTTATCTCCAATCAGATTCGAAAAGCGGTGCGCAGGAAACACACTCTGCCAAACTATAAGCTGCGGTACAAGCCGTTCTTTCACTGGACCGCCGAGGACGAGTCCAGTGACTGCGACATCCAGCCAAACGGGCTGCTGACCGTCCGGGTGGTTGAGCTATCGCGCCTTATATCCTGCCCCGAGATGGGCGACACATACTGCACCCTGACCTTGGCCCCAGTGCCCTTGATTGAGGCTAACCAGCACGACAGTCGTCACGTTCTCATTTCGATGGATGTGTTTATACATAAGGCGAAAAATCAGCAGATTGGCATTGTCTTTAAACAGAACGCAAGCCAGGCAATACACATTGAATCGGTATTACCAAACACACCTGCCTGCAAATCCAACCTGCAGGCTGGGGACGTCCTAGTAGCCATCGAGGGAAAGCCCGTGACGACGATCCAACAGATTGCCAAGGTGGTCAAGACCTTACAGGCTACCGTCTTCAGTCTGCGCATAGAACGGATTATTTCAGGCATTATCCGTAATGATGCAGTGCTTGAGGACCTGGACAGATACGACGATCTGTGTGATTTACCCCTCCCCAACCCTCCGAAGTCCGACACCATCGAACTCGGATCTACTGAGCTGGTTCCCAGGTGCTTGACATTTAAATCCGGACTTGGTAGTACTCCTACGAGCTCTCCGAAGAAGTCTAACCTCATTGCCAAAGCCATTAAGAAAACCATGAGCCGTGAAAGTGGCGACAAAGAAAAGGATAGAGAAAGGGATAAAGAAAAGGAGAAAGATAGGGAAAGAAACAAAGCGGAGGAGCCGGAACAAATAGGCGAGGAAGTCAATTACTTTTATCAGCATTCGACTATTGACTGCCCCTTTAGTCCATTGATCCAGATGGACGACACGTGCAGCTTCCAGTTGGATAATAATAGCCGTTTCCTCAACGTCTGTGTATTTTCCAAGTGCGCCGGTGAAAGCATATTGTTGGGCTACAACAATGTCCCGATTAGCCAGGTCCTTGTAGAGTGCTCGGAAACGAGCCTAAACCAGTGCCTCCGACAAATAGCTCTCAACCCAGCTACTCTGCAGGCTGCGTAAGTTATGGAGGATAATATTATCTTTAATATACATTAGTCTAGAACAGTGGTGGGCAAACTCTCATTTTACATAGCGAGTATAGGGTAGGAAATTCTGCCGCAGCGCTGCCGGCACACTGACAGTGTGAGCACTCTCAAATTTTTTTTAGAAGCTCTCTCACTTGCTCTCATTTTGATTCTTTTGACAGCCCAAACTAAAAATCAAAATTTTTCCACTTAGAAAAATTTTTTCAGAAATTGGGTTGGAAAAAGTTTTCTTCATGAATATAAATATAGAATAAATAGAAATAGAGAATATAAATAGGGAAGCGTAGTTTTTCATTTGTTTAAGAAATGTTGCTAGCAAAGCTGTTTTTAAAATATAATACTCAATTTTAGTGCCCATTTAAACTTTTGAATTAACGAAAAATGAAATAAAAAAAAACGTTTTTTTCGCTCAGTGAATTCTTTGCTCTCATTGTTTTTCTCTGCTACGCACACACTCAAATTTTAAACATGTGTTAGTTTTGCCCACCACTGGTCTAGAACCTTTTCCTAGACGGTTAATAAATTTGATCTTTAACAGCAAAATGCATACTCTATCCAATCAGTCCGGATTCAACCCAAACCTTTGTTTTGGGGACATTCTTTTCGGTTTCTCTTGGATAGGGAACCCCAACGTTATAGTGGGCGGATCCAAATCTCCCTCCCCGACTAGGTAAGGCATAAAATCATAAACAAACTATAAATTGTTTCCAAATTCCTTACTTTTTTAGAAACATATCGACAAGCGGAGACCAGGGCGGGCTAGAAATCCACTTATCGGAAACCATGAGCATGAAATCAGCTAGTTCCATGTCCGACACAACAGCTGTCTGGGGGTCGACTTCTGCTATGGTTATCCCTCGAGCACACAACTTTGTGAGAACTCATTTCCATCGAGCCACCCAATGTGACTTTTGTGGCAAGAAGATCTGGCTAAAGGACGCGATGCAGTGCCAAGAGTGTTCCATGTGCTGCCACAAAAAGTGCATAGCGAAGTGCCAGAACGCCACAGTCTGTGGCCCGGTGGACTGCTCTGGATCGGTACCAGCTTCGATGCCAGCTGTAGCTCCATCTGTTGTTACCAAGCCGGAGTTTACCATCACTCAAGCGGATAACTTAGAAGTTCTCGATGATCGATCCAGTTCCGTCATAGACGATACAGCCGTAGAAGGGGCGGCCGGAGAACAAGCACAGGTCCAATGTGCGACACGCATGGACTTGCATAGGTCGAGTCTGACGGGGATGCTGGCGCAGGGAATCAAAAGGCAGGCAAGCAACCTTGACATTCCAGGCATAGTGTCTTCACTGACGGGCAGTGGAGGCCTTCAAATTAACTCAAGGAGCCTCCCCCCGAGTCCCCAACATACGCCCTCGCGGTAATTTTTTTTTTCAATTAGCCTGACCAATTCTTAACGCGATTTCACTTAAAAATTTAGGAAATCATCGATGGTTGAGGACCAGAACCCTTTTGAGAGGGTTACCCAGTACCTAGAGGCTCTTCCATCTGAATGTACTCTCTTAAACTTTGATCAAGTCATGGACATTACAGAACCGATCATCCGACACACTCAAAACGAGGATCTAATGAACTTAGCCAAGACATCTAGCAAGCAATTGTATGCGACCTCCCCATCAGATGAACGTGTAGCCAAGATCAACGAACTGGTAAAAAAAATTCTACATTTTTGTTGGATAAAGTTTAGATGCATTTTTTCCAGCTGAGCAAAATAAGGGTAGCGCTGGACACGGAGACTGAGGGTTTCACCATGATGAATAATGCGGAAAAGACCACAGAGACGTCGCCATGGAAGTCCGCGCCCAATATAGAGAAAAGTTCTGATGACAGAGTCCAGGCACTCAGTATTATTATGCTATACCTGTGTACGGGGCTGCAACGTGCCCAGGATGGGGTCCCGCCATAGGCTTATCCACAGGCACTGACGAACTAGGTGTATTCACATTTTTATTATTTTTAAGTAGACTGTAGACTGGAAATGTAAATTTATGGCCATTTTAAATCCGTGTTGTGGAATACTCACGCAAAAGTATTTTTTAGCCAAGTATTCTTAGGTAATATTCCTGGGTGAAACTAAGTACTGAGAAACTAAGTACTTTTAAATTATCAGTCATATTTAAAATACATATGTCCGTCTATCTGTTTTAAGAAAAGTATCTGCTTATGTGTCAGAAATAATTTTAGTTTATAAGTTCCAAAGAAGACAACCATTAGAACGCGGAAGAAAGCGAATTTGGCACACTATCCTCGAGTACCGCGTACATAACAGTCGAAACACTCGACTTTAGCGGTTTTTACTTATTTAAATATTTACTCGTTTGTTCCTATCAAAGTAAACGCTTTGTCAGTTGAAAAAATGTACATATAAGATACGGGGTACATTACAAATCTATATTTACATAGTCTTTTAAAATCGTTTTGACCAATAAAAGCGTTAAATCTCAAACATGTCTATATCAATTTCAAAATCATTTAAAATCATTCAGTAAATCATTTGAATCATTTAACAAAAGTCAAAGTTTTCAGGAGCCTTTCTAACTAGTGTTTGGTAGCTTATGAGTGAGTGAACAAAAAAGAGTTGTTCACTCAACTGAGCGAGCGAATATGTTCCTTCCTTTTTGTTCTATATTGTTCACTTGCTCATTTTTGTTCACTTGCTCCCTTGTTCATTTGTGCTTAGATACTCTTTTTGTGCACCATGTTAAATTTTAATAATAATAATGATTTCATTGGTTGTAGCATATTAAATTTTTTTGAAAATTCAATTATCCATGCCTTCATTTTATTTAACTATTTTTAAATGCCCAATGAGGGAGCAAAAGTGATGCGACAAATTAAAATGTAGAAATATCGGTAAGTTTGAAAATTAAATATGTAACATAATCTATTTTTGAAAAGTCGTTGAGATGCAGTGCTTATTGGCTTGGTAATGCACTGAACAACCAGTGAACATCTGAGCAATGAGCAAGTGAGCAATATGAGTAAGTTGACTCTTTTTTTTTTTTTCGTGGTCTTTCAGAATTTGAAATGGCTTGTGCATCAACTAGATCATCATCTAGCATTTCTGTATTCATCATAAAGCTCGGAGGCCCAGACGACCGAGGGGCGCTCGAGAAACGAATAATTAGTAAATATTAAGCTAATTGTAATATATTAAGCTAGGAAGAGTTAGTAAGGACATAAAAATTTAATACTTTTGAAAAAAAGAACAAGTGAATATGTTCACCTAAAAGCGCAGTATTTACACTACACTATTTCAAACATTTGACTTTATAAAACTATTTTTAAAAGGTTTTGCAATAAGCCGAGAAATATTCTTAAAACTTGTTTATTGTTATCAAAAATGAATACAAAACATATATATCTATATTTAAAAATTTAAAAAAATTATAAAATTGATTTTATGTACATACATACATATGTATAATATTCCCGGGTTATTATTCGTAACTTACATACATAAAGAAAGATATTTCTTACAGTAAATGCTCATGGCTGTGTATCTTTACTTGAAATGTAGATAACGTACTTCTTATAAGGCCGAACATCAAGCCATGTAAAAAGCTTCGATCGAACTTGCAAAGTTAAATGAAAAGCTTTAAAGCAGAATGATAATTACCTTTAAAGGTGTCATTTTTTTATATTGAAATCGTACCTATTTTTCATTAATTGGTGGAAAATTTTTACTTACAAGCATATACATATGTATGTATTTTCTTTCTTTTGTCTTATACATATGTATATACATTTCACTTAATTTAATCGGAAATAGCGCCATAAATCAGTTTTGAGTCCGTTCCCATACAAAACAAAAATTCCATTTTTGATTATTCTTGTTAGAAGATTATTTTACCATATTTGTTCAGGTTTGTTCTTTTCTATATAAAAATCGGGAGTTTCCCCAATTAAAACTTTTTTTCCCAAATATTTTGGACTTTTAGAGCCATATTAACAAATTTATACATCTTCTACGCCTGCTGGAAAACAAAAATTCACGGACATCGAATTATATTAAAATTTTGCAAAAAGACTAATTAAAAACTTAAAGTTTGGCTTATCTATTTGAGGCTTCGTCTTTTAAAAGACAATATCTAGCCTAATTAAAAATGTTAAAATTCTAATACCCATTGATTGTTACTGAAATGTAAAAATAAAAACATAAAAAGCGTATATTGGTTATAATTTCAAAAACGTATTGTAATTTCTATATATCCAGAGGTTAAATATTACGTAAAACCATGGTATTGGCGCCTCCAATGTCCCCAAAATAATAAAATTATTTTTATTTGTTTCCACTGAAAACAATAGAGATTCCGGTATCCGAATGGGAGATGCGTAAAAGTCGATAATGCACATATATATGTACATACATGTGTACGTTTCCAAACAGATATTTCTTGTATTGGACCTTCGATTGTATAGACCGATTCCGAGTGATAAGTCTCCAGCTCTCTCTTGGGGGCTCTCTTTTTGCATTGAACTTTTACATTTTGACAGAATACGTAGACAGAATGGCAAGAGAAAGATAGACTGTTTATATCGGAGGCTATTGCTCTTCCGATGACAAGACGTTTTGGTTCGTTCAGTGATACTCTACGAGTGCCGTTTCCACGATCCAATACTCGGTACGCCCAATGCCTAGAATTTCTGTCAGAGGAAAGCAATCCTTGCCGTTCTTATCAAAAAGCTTTTGTACATAGTAGAAACTACGGTGATTTTTGAAATAGAAGTCAACGATTTGATACTTTAATATATTTATTTAAAAATTTTTTTTATAACATGTCACTTATTCATACTTATTCTGTCTTATTACTGAGGATAGTATGAAATATAAAAAAACGGTATTCAATAATTGGTTTTCAAATCGAGTTAATCGTCCCGAATAAAAACTAAAAAATTGTTATCACTTTTCATACAATTTTTTCACCTAAGTGAATTTTTTTATTGCAATATAAACTCTATCCGCCGTATATTCTCCATTTATAAAAGTCTCAATTTAAAAAGAAGTCATTAAACTTAGATTTATTTAAAACTATCAATATTCAAGCTAAACATAGAGTAGAGTATCGGTCTTCTGGCATTTCGCGCGTACTGCCAATTTGTGTATTATATTTTTGTTTTTCGTGCCATTTTATTTTTCATTTGTTTTGTTATGCGCAGTTTTTCTTTCTTCTTCCGTGCTATAAAAACCGAAAGTAAAAAGCATTTTTAATATTACAATCCGCAGGAGAGCCACGATCAGTTGGTTGTGGAGTAACGGAAAATATTATACCGTAGTTCGAACTTAACTGGAAAGGCTTACGCAAGCAATAGTTATCGATATTTTTTGAGTGATTCTATCAGTGAGCTCCGTGGTTAATTTGAATCTGGAAAAGCAGTGCGCGGAAAGAAAACCAAGAAATCAGAAATGCGGCCTTTTGGCAATGATATCACAAACATCCCGCCTAACACAAACGGCGACAGTGGCGGCGGCAACAACGATCCCAATGATAATAATGGTAACAGAAACAACGCCAGCTCCGGGGGGCCAGACGGTGCCAGGTCCGACACAGATGAGGGAAACACAAACGACCGGCCCATTCCGGCGCACATTGCCCGTATCGGCGGCACATACACCTTTCCCCCTATAGCAGGTCAAGGGGTCATCCGTGTGGTACAGAGATGCGAGGACGCTAAGGAAAACCACAATTTGGGTAAGCATTCCATCACCCCATCATTGCCAACGAATCAGTTTCTCAAACAAATCTCATAGCCAAGTCGTAGTACGTAGTATGGGAAGAACCCATTTTGGCTATTGCGTACTGCCCTATGATTTGATTATCCGCCACCCCACGCCTCGCTTTCTCTCTCTTTCTCTGTTGACCACCCCCTCATTCATAATGCGTCGCGGAATTGCATTGCCAGTGCGTCGCTTTCAATTCGAACAAAGAAAGATAACTTTCATGATTTCAAGTTTATATATCACATATTGCCAAACAGCGAGATCATTTTATTTTATATAAGTTGTAACCAATTTGAGAAACAGTTATTTACGTATTTATTTCGACAATGTTCAACAAAAAAAAATATATAAGTTATTGCGTCACACAAAATTTCCGAGTTTTTAACGCTGAAAAATTGTATCTGTGAATCTGTGCTCTTCAATCTATGTATGTATAACATATTCATATTTGTTTATTCATGGTACTTTTTCAAATCGAAAAGAAAAGTTTTAATTTCGCGCACTCTATATTTATTTATCGATTACAAGAAAAGCTATCGAAAAATGTATTGTTTTTAGTTGTAGACTATAATTTATAAAAAGAATAGGGACTTATTAAAGGAAACTATAACATATATTATGACAGTGATATTATAATGGATATGTATCATTTAAATTTTTATTAAAAAAAAATTATTTTATTACCGACATGGATATGTAGTATTTAAATTTTTATTTAAAAAAAAATGATTTTATTACCGCAACTGTGACCGATGCTAAAATGGTTTATGCTAAAAAGATTGTGATTTTTTTTATCACAAATATCGACGAACCTAAATAGCAACAATTACAGTTTGAAAAAAAAATGATTTAATGGACTTCGAAAAATTTTTAAACAATTCGGGTTTTGGCACTGCATAAACGGCGTGTGAGGTGAAACCTTGTTCTCCCTTTGTTGAGAAATTTTGGAAATACATACTGATGTATAGTCCGGTTTGGTTACGTGCTCAGTTTTGAATATCGATGTATATGTATGTAGATATTTTCATATATTGTCAGCAACCCTAGTGTTGACCAACTGTTAGATGTGTTAGGAAGAGGAGGTTGGCAAAATCTTTTGCGATCAGCTGTGCGAAATTTAGGATTAGAGAAACTCGATGGCGCACTTGGTGGTAAAGGTTATTCAGAGGTGCGAAAATGCTGCAGAAGAGGGCAACTTGGGTAAATATTACACATAGAACCAAAATAATTAAACAAATATGTAATATGTATCAAGTTGCTTTTATTTCCATAGTAAAAAAAAATGGAAATTGTTAATCGAAACGTTTGAACATATTTACATACATACTATATATGTATATAAAAAATACATTTATATGTATAGTATATTTATACATATGTACATGTATGGTATTGTACATTTTCGCAGAAATACATATATGATTTTTCACCTCGTAATAGTGACTACACGGTGTACTTAAAAACAAAATTAGGTGCACATACTTAAGATTTGGCTTGGTTAAACTAACTTATAATGTTAAGGTAAAATTCAGAAAACTTAAAGCTTAATTTTAAAAATATTTTTTTTTTTTACTTCAATTTTTTGGGATTTATTTCACCAAACTAAAAGTCAAGTACTACAAAAATATTCGAATTTATTGACCAGGAGAAATGTCTCTTATGTTCAACATAGAAATCCTATATTTTTCAATTTATGCGTATGAGAAATTACACTAAATTAATTCTGACATATGTATGTATGTATGTATATTATAAAAAAAGTATTTTAGTTGAATTAGTGGCTTAAAAAAATTGTATTTTCCGATTTCAATCCAGATTTGTCCAAATGCGAGCTAGTGCAAATACCAGATGCAGTGTACCACCTGATGAGAAATACACAATTAAAAACCTGCGACCTGAGTGGCAATGTTCTCAAGAGTGTCATGCCCAAGTTCTCTATGAAGTTTAGCGCCATCACAGGTTGGTTTCTTTGTATCCAAAGTCAGTGTGATCTATTAATTTTAAATTATATGTCCAGATCTCAACCTCTCAGAAAATAAGCTGACGAGATTACCGGATGAATTTGCCAGCCTGAGCGCACTAGCTAGGCTCAACATATCCCACAACTCGTTTATTGTTTTGCCGCAGGTGGTTTGGAAGCTGCCGAGCCTTACTAGTCTGGATGCCAAGAATAACGCCATCCTGGGTAGGAGTCGCTAGTTCGTGTGCATTTTAGTAATTTAACAATTCTTTTCCATGCAGAGATCGACACCGACGATGGTATAGCTAGTGACAGTTTGGTTTCCGTAGACTTGCGCAACAATCCGCTGAGTAGGAACTGCCGACGCAAGCTACAGGGTTTCCAGACTTCCTTTCTACTTCATATCTCCAATGACGTCGACGACGATTGGTAGCAGAGCCGGTATCCTCCAGACACCCATCAAAACCAATTTTGTTATCTTCACTAAGGGAACTCTCATTACCGAGTCAATCTTGGTCTCCCTATTTGCTTAAAAGGGCTAAGCTCGGTAAGCCTGGAAGAAGTCCTTAGTGATTTAAAATAGTTTCGAATATGCATTTTACGCATAGGTATAGGCATATTAACGAGAAGGGTGGCTCATTTTCTACATGCCAGCCGATGTCTCCCATACTATCTATTGCAAGATCACCTGAAATGAGTCTGATAGAATGAATTTTTTTTAATCTTTATATATTGCTTTGCATTTGTTTTCGTTCCTTATATTACTTTACTATTTTACTACTTTACAAATCAAAAATCATACTTATGGGTTTACCCAGTGTTTCCAATATTTTGACGGTTAAAATTAATTATAATATATAATATGGCAGTGGTTTTTAAAATGTACAAAATTAGAGGCTTAAAGAAAATGTGGTGCATGAAAATGAGATGTATTAGATGCGAATGTCAGAGGTTAAAAATAAGAGCATCAGGAAGTAAAAGGATGGAATAGAAAAAGGACCTTTTTTATGGTTTTTGATATATTGAAACATATGCATCTGCCATGATTCACTCACTATGTATGAGTAATTTTTGTTGAAATGCCTTTTACATCCCTTATTATCCCGCATTGCGTAGTTTGTGCTACCGCTTTTTTTGTCACCCTTCCAAGTAGCAAATATTATTTTAAAATCACTTTGGCAGGTTTCCAAAGCTTACCCGGCTTAGCTAATGTATATTTAAAAATTTATTACTTCTTATAAATAAATCGTGCCATTTATACTTTTTTTATCAAAGAACAAATGTAATTAAAAAGAAATTATTTAAAAAAAAGTATAAAAAAATATAAATAAAAACTTTAGATCAGTGGTCGGCACTGATCAATACATTGATATGATTTTAATGCATAAGGATTAGTAACGAACAGCAGAAAGTAGGCTGCGAGAATGACGTTTCGTACATTTATACTGTGTAAATTAACAACACAGTACCAGTTGCGATATAAGAAACGTAACTTTATTAAATGTTGGAGTTATAAGCTAATACATTCATTTTCTTCGTCCTCATTCCGACTCTCCCAAAACGGGGAGCCTCGGTGGCGTGATCAATTTGGATGTTTATTGTTTTTGCAGTTGGCGGTCAGATAGGGGAAATTTGTTTATATCTTACTCAAGCTTGCGAGGGTGGGAATGCTTACGTTCTAAGAGTTCGTGAGAACCTGGCAAGCCATAAGCCGTCATATATTGTTTATTATATTATATATATTACATATAAGTTATGAAATCAAATTTTAGTTAAACTGTATGTACTGCAGAGCTCGGGCAGAGAAATTTCCTTTGCCCCTGGAATAGGGCCCTGCCGACCACTGCTTTAGATCAGTGCACTTTTAGTGCTGTTGAAAACATTGTTGATGTTGACGCTTACATACTTGAGCTTGCAATTTTAGTTTTTGAGTGCTGTTTTAAAAACGATAAAAGTGAAAGATTAATGAACAAAATAAAAATTTTTAAAATAAATTGATTTTGATTTTATTCATATGAGTGAAATTAGAAAGTGCACTTTTATGCGCTTTTGAAGAAATTCATATTTTAAGGAGGAAACATCGAAACCTTTATTGTGAATCTGTTTTCTGTAAGATTAGTGAAAGACCGATCTCTGTAATCTTAAGCACTATATCGATTCTCAATGGCTTTTATAGTAAACTAGCCTATTTTGTAAGACTTATCTCATGCTTTTTTGCTTAATTTGTATAAAAAATTAAAAAAAAACAAGAAAGAAAAGCTAACTTTGGGGGGAGCCGAAGTTTATATACCCTTGCAGCTAAAACCGGATATATATCGCAAAAATCGGATATAGTTGGCCGATCCTTATGAGAATATGATAATATAACCAAATTTATTATAATATAAAATCTAAAAAAAAGTCCAAAACTTCTATCTTCAAAAATACCAAAGTTGATATATCTACCAAAACCCATTTCCGATCGTTCAGTTAAATGGCAGCTATAAGATATAGTCAGCCGGTCGTTATAAAATTTGGTAGGTCGGATTAACTGACCAAAAATATAATCTGTAGAAAGTTCCAGCTTTCTATCTTCACGAAAAAAACACGAAAGTTGGGTCATTTCCGATCGTTCAGTTAAATGGCAGCTATAGGATATAGTCGGCCGATCCTTATAAAATTTGGTATGTCGTAATGTTTTGCCAAAAATAGCTCTCATGTCAAAGTTATTCCATTTCCGATCAATCAGTTATATGACAGCTATAGGATATAGTCGGCCGATCCCGGTCGTTCTGACTTATATACTGCGTGCAAAGGAAAGAAGGGTGTGTGCAAAGTTTCATGTCGAGAGCTTTAAAAAAATATTGCCATGAATTAAATTTCTCCACTAACGTGTTCAAACATAATTTTAAAACTTTAATAATAAACATATCGGTTGCATCCCATTCAACAAATGGCGCCACATCTCACATCACTTTACATACAGATGGAGCTCACAAGGGTTAAGTTCTACGTATATAAAAAAAAACGCTATTCAAGCAAAAATGAAAGCTCCGTGAAGTTTTGGAGTCTAAATCGATTTAAATTCAAACTTTTGGAGGTAGTTATGAATTTTAAAACACAATGCAGCAGTTTTCAATATTATACATTAGGTACATTAGATAATATTATACGATTTAGACACATTAAATAGGTAGATATAAAAATTATATCTACTTATAGTGTGCAACGCGGTAAAATGGACCCCAAGGTATATAAATTCATGATCAGCATTACTACACATGACTCTATAAGAAAATTCGGCAGGAAAATCGATTTCGATTATTTAACTCTTTATTTATGTATGTACATTTTACATGTACAAATACACACGTATGTACATATATCAATTATATCCTATATCTACTATTACAATTTGTTTTTTTATACCCTTGCAGAGGGTATTATAATTTTGTCCAAAAGTGTGCAACGCAGTGAAGGAGACATTTCCGACCCTATAAAGTATATATATTCTTGATCAGGATCACCTCCTGAGTTGATATGAGCATGTCCGTCTGTCCGTCTGTCCGTCTGACCGTCTGTCCGTCTGTCTGTTTCTACGCAAACTAGTCTCTCAGTTTTGAAGCTATCGACTTGAAACTTTGCACACACCCTTCTTCCCTTTGCACACAGTATATAAGTCGGAACGGCCCGGATCGGCCGACTATATCCTATAGCTGCCATATAACTGATTGATCGGAAAAGGTATAACTTTGGTGTTTTTAGAGTTAGAGAGTTTAAATTTGACACTAGAGCTATTTTTGGCAAAACATTACGACATGCCAAATTTCAAAAGGATCGGCCGACTATATCTTATAGCTGCCATATAACTGAACGATCGGAAAAGACCCAACTTTCGTGTTTTTGAAGATAGAAAGCTTAATACAGATTCTATTTTTGGCCAGTTGATCCAACCTACCAAATTTCATTAGGATCGGCCAACTATATCCTATAGCTGCCATATAACTGAACGATCGTAAATGGTACTTGGTAGAAATATCAACTTTCGTATTTTTGAAGATAGAAGCTTGGAACTTTTTTTTAGATTTTTTATTGTAATAAATTGGTTTTATTATGATGTAATCATAAGGATCGGCAAACTATATCCGATGTTTGCGATATTTATACGGTTTTAACTGCAAGGGTATATCAACTTCGGCTCCGCCCGAAGTTAGCTTTGCTTTCTTGTTTTTTTTTTAATTTCTCAAAGACTTCTATAATATTTTCCTAAGTCTTATGGTTGAATGGAAATAATGAGGTAAAAACTATGTATTTATAATCGACGGCCACAATTTTTCCACAAACTTCAGACTCGACTTCTAAAATCAAGATGTAATAAGCTAGAAAGACTCCCATTTTACTTTTTGTTGTTTTTATTACGGTTTTCATTTAATAACGGTGTTAGGAAATAACTAAAAACAAAGTAATTGAAAATTATAATTGTTTTCGTTCCTTTAAAGTTTAAACAGGTCGAGTTTTTTTTCGGGCGCCATCTAATAATGTTCTTATGACAATTCCACTTTAAGGTTTTCACTTGGAATAGAATTATTTCACAAAGTTTGAACGAAACATTCGAGCAAAAATTTTCTTAATTTATAGCTTCCGAATAAATAAAATGTATGTTTATAAATAAAAATAAAATGTATGTATATGTACGTGATTTATTAGGAATAGCGGGCGGATGGTTGAAAGTATACTTTATATATGTATACATACATACATACATGTACATGTATACATATTATTGAAAGTGACAAAGTTTAAGTGTGTCCTTAGCTGAGCTTCACAATTTTGGGCCAAATCACGATGCCCTGTGCAAGGCTGTGCAAAAATCTCTTTCGGCCAAGGGTCAACCTCTTGTTTAAATGATTTATGTAAGCTCTTCCCAGCTTTCTGCTCTCCTGCTCTTTTGACTTGGCTAAAAAAATACAAGCTTGCCCAAAAACAATTAAGCAAGCAACAACCCACATAACAGGTTTGCCAACAGTGCGAGAGGTGGCAGATACCGATCGTGCGGCTTGTTCTTCTCTTCGCTTAACTTGGCTTAAACCATATGCACGATTACATATACATACATGCATATACATATATATATATACATAAATATGTACATGCTTCTACGTACATACTTGAGGGTCAGCGCGGCTTAAGCCACCGCCTGTTCTCCGCCTTAGTGAATTCGTCGCGCATCGCTGGGCCTGCATCATGGGGATGGATAAAGAGAATAAGAGAGGGGCACAAAATAAAGAGCGAGAACCCAGAAATAATATAGATATACAAAGAAGGGGTTGGGATGATGGAAATGGGAGCTGAGTTGCCACCCTCTTTATGTTAAAAATTTTACTTCCACCAAATTTTTATAAATGCTTCTATTTTTTTTCTAACTTGTTGGCCTTTTAATTTACATAATTTTGTTCAACTACATTGCGGTTTTTTGCAAATTATTTCTCACTGACCTTCAAGTCGCAATTTTGAGTTTTTATTGCATTTACACTTGTGGGCGATTCCTAAGCTCCTATAGAACTAAAAACATTAGTAGGACACACTATTAATAAATCTTTAGTATAATAATAGTTTTCGGGATTATTAATGTCCGCGATTATTTCATAAAAATAAGATATAAGCCCAACACAAAACATATCTACGAACATTTGTAACCAAAATAACCTTGACTTGTACGAATTGGGAAAATTAATCTCGGTTCATAAACAAATACATTTTATATTTTTCACTTTTTAAATTAACATTTTTTTTCCAACATATTATTATTCAAACTAATTCAGAATACCGCACTTTATACTGTATACACTACGTATAAATACATTGATATCAAGAAGTATAATAAGTATATATCAAGGAGTTGAGGATTATGAGGTACGTAAAGTTTACTATATAAACATATGTAATATTATGTCATTAATAACACCGAAATAATGCAAATATTAGATTTACGTTAGTGTGTTATTGTTAAAATTAGATAATTCATAACAGAAATGGCCAGCTCGACAACTCTGCATCGCGAGAGCGATTTATCCAGCGGAGAGAGTGGCTTGATAAGTGCATGTACTCAGCTGGGACTTGGCCAAAAGCTGTGTTGCCAGGTCGGTGGGATCGGGGGACTTGGCCAAGCCAGGTCTGAGGCTAGCAACATCGGGGTCGTCTCCTCAGTCGATAGCTGGTAATACTCAAAAACGCGCCCGGGCACAGAGTGTTGGCAACGCGAGTCCAGTAAAGTTTCGTAAATATTCGGAAAATTACATCTTCAACTAAATACAAAAAACATCGGAGTGGGACTTTAAAAAGAGTATAAAAGATTATTTACGTTTTAGCATAAATGCATATGTATATTTTAATGGTTTTTTTTTACAATAACTGTGGAATACTTTCAACTCGGATTTTGAGAATTTGAACCAAAAGAACCTCACAAGAATTAAGGCTTTTTAAGATAAGTCTTACTTTTTTTAAGTTTTTGTTTTGTTGTTATTGCCCCATAGCGTATTTATCGACGAAAAGTGGAGCAACCTTCATAAATGGATGTTGTTTTTGTTTGCTATTTAAACTGTTTTTTTTTTGTGTGCTACAAAATATAAAATAATAAAGTAGTGACGAAAGAAAACTAAACAACGTGATGAATCTAATTAGCTTGCATGTGGCACTTCCAGCTTTTTAACGTTTTTGGATACCATTAATCATCGCCAAAGATCGAATTTATCTTCCTGGAATTCGCAAGACTTCTGAAATACTCTGAGACATACATTCTACGTGGTATAAATACTGATGACTTGTTTCTTGATGACTTGTTTCCGAGGGGAGGTGTATCTTCAATAGATCCGACTGCCGACCCTCTGTAAGAGAATAGATGGTCCCACACAATAGAATCGCTTTCTCGCGACATCAGGCAATAATGATCTGATTCTTGCCTGAGAAAGTGGCATTCGATTGATTTCGAGGAAGTTTAAGTTGCGCCGAGTGTCTCAATAAGTCTGATCCCAGAGTGATCTCATCATTTTTTGGTGGCCGCGTTTTTTGGGTTGGCCTTTATGCACTCAAAAATAAATTACCACAAAGTTACCTAATTAATGCTCAAATGCATAGTCACTATATTTATCTTGGATTTTAAAAATTTTTTGATGAATTTTGATGTGACATACAGTCAGCAAAGAAATTATTCGGACACCGAAATATACTTATATAAAGGCTTATTTCTGGGAAAAAATGAAATTTTTGGCACTGTTTTTATTTTTTTCTGTTAAAAACTAATTATTAATAACATATTATTAAATAAAAATTTAATTATTTTTGTTGTGTATATAAATAAAAAAAGAAAAGCAAAACAAGAGCTTAAAATTCGGCAAAAAAATTATTCGTACGTCTTCAAGATTATCTGTTTTCTTTGTGAATACAAAGGTAATCGGCGTTTTTTTTTTGGAAATTTACTTAGAAATACTTCGATCTAGAAAAATACGTGCGTTTTTTATGCTATGCTTTACTTTTGCTTTCGAATTATTAATTTAAAAAAATGTATGTTAACGGGTGTCCGAATAATTTCTGTGCTGACTGTATGTACATTTCCAATTTTATTGAAAGTTTCTGCTGATAATAACAATACCTTGCAAAGTATTAGGTCATAATTTAATACCCCATTGACCTGATATTATTAAAAAAAGATGTAGATGTTTTCAGAGGGTGCAATCCGGCTTCAAAAACACACAAGCATTACTGGTTTCATGGTGGTTTAGAAAATAATAGCACTAAATATCATACCAAATATCATCATGTATATACATATTTAACTTACATACATATATATGTAACTTACATACATATGTATATCTATTAAAAATTATTCCCAAAACCACTATTGTTGAAAATTTAATAAATTGAACACAGAATTTAATAATATCGGAAATATTTAAATTGTCTACAGCTGTATATCTAAATATTTTATATTTCTCAAATGACTTTAGTTTCCTTAAGTGAGTAGATGTTTCCATGTAATTGAGTTTAGATTTAAGTCTCCTAATCATCGGCTGTACATGTATAAAATATATAAAATATATATTTTATAAAATGTATTCAAATATATCAATAACACATTTTGGCATGTCGTATTATTTTGCCAAAAATAGCGCTCATGTCAAATTTGAACTCAAATTTGAATTTGAAATTTGTCAAATTTGAAAACACCGAAGTTATACCATTTCCGATCAATCAGTTCAATCAGATCAAACATATATGGCAGCTATAGGATATAGTCGGCCGATTCCGGTCCGACTTATATACTGCGTGCAAAGGAAAGAAGGGTGTGTGCAAAGTTTCAAGTCGATAGCTTTAAAAATGAGAGACTAGTTCGCGTAGAAACAGACAGACAGACAGACGGACAGACGGACATGCTCATATCAACTCAGCAGGTGATCCTGATCAAGAATATATATACTTTATAGGGTCGGAGATGTCTCCTTCACTGCGTTGCACACTTTTGGACAAAATTATAATACCCTCTGCAAGGGTATAAAAAGTGAAAATGGTTTTATTTTCCAATATGTAATATTTACATGTTTGTATAATACAGATATAGTATATATATACAAATGAATATACCCTAATTTTCTACGTTTTTGTACTTTTCCATTCGATTTTTAAGATAAGATTGATAAATGTCAAAAGTCGTTCTAAATGACGAAAAAAAATCTTCATTTTAATATAAAGGTATTTAATGTGTAGATATGGAATTACGGGATTATATGTAAGTATGCAAAACTTTGAAGCGGGATATTGTCTTTAACTCTTGGGTTATTTAAAAAATATTGGGTTATTTCCTCTTTAAATATCCCAATATATTATGAGACGGTGTTCGTATAGAATTTACGGTCTCAGAGCTTATTCTATTTAGTTAATAAGCTTCCTATAGAGCAGATACAAGTGGATAAAGTAGTAAAGGCGTTGGCTGTCGAGGTGGAATGTCGCTCCGCCTCTTTCTAGCTGACGCACACCAGCTTCCCAAAAAAAAAAAAAGCGATTAAAACCGCTTTTCAGCGCATGCGTAGCCCGAGTTCTCGTAACCTGCGCACTAGAGCTGGCAATGTCTGTGTGTGAGTCACAAAGAGGGCTCTTTTTCGTCAACTAATAGATGCATTGGCATCGCGTAATCACTTCACAAAGCTTAGCTCTCCGGAATGGAGTGGTGTGGTTTCAAGTGAAGTGGTGGGCATTGAGACGCGACGGGAGTGGGCGGAGGTCGCTCGCTCAGTGGTCCGGTCGTTCGGGGAAGCGAAAAAAATGAGCAACAAGGTAAAATACCAGTTTTGCTTCAACCAAGCTGAGCGACAACACATGCTCATCTACTGAAAACAAACTTTGTTGTGTGGGTCTGTGTGGGCAATTACTCGAATATATACATGCATCTATGTATGTACATATGTTTGTAGGTATTAATGTACATTTAGGAATTTATATAGACATAACCTGTGAGACGAGCTCTCTTAAATAAAGCCAAATATTTTATACTCTTGCGTTAATTGGCATGGCCCATGTTACTCTTACAACTCGAATGGTGTTTGTTTTTCCCGCAAAAGATAATGCCGGCTCAAATTTTGATTTTATCTAAAGTGTAAAAGGATTACACATTAAAATATCTATAAAGCTTTCGATATGGAATCTTTTTTTTAGTTTTATTGGCAGAATTATGGATTAATTCGACAGCCAACCACGAACTGATGAGGTGTCCCTTAATGAAATATGAAAAAAACTTGAATATTTTTTCTATACTTCAGGAATTACAAACCATATTAATGGGTTCATGTGCCATATGCGTATAAACAAGGCTTTGCCATCTGGCTTTTTGCATTCCGATTATAATACTTATAACCTTCTGTAATGATCAATAAATTTTTATTATTATTATTTTAGCTGTTATTTCTTATGTAAAAGTAGTCGCGCTCCAAAAGAAAAATATTGAAAAAACAAGATTTTTAATCTTAAATAATCCAAAATGACTTCCCAAACTCAAATAAAAAAAGAAAGGAAAGCTAACTTCGGGCGGAGCCGAAGTTGATATACCCTTGCAGTTAAAACCGGATATATATCGCAAACATCGGATATAGTCGGCCGATCCTTATGAGAATATCATAATAAAACCAATTAATTATAATGAAATATCTAAAAAAAAGTCCCAAGCTTTTATCTTCAAAAATACCAAAGTTGGTATTTCTACCAAATACCATTTCCGATCGTTCAGTTATATGGCATCTATAGGATACAGTCGGCCGATCCTAATGAAAATTTGTAGGTTGGATCAACTGACCAAAAATTGAATATGTACTAAGTTTCAGCTATCTAAGTTTCTATCTTCAAAAACACGATGTTGGGTCATTTTCGATCGTTCAGTTATATGGCAGCTATAGGATTCGGATCCTAATGAAATTTGGCATGTCGTATTATTTTGCCAAAAATAGCTTTCTTGTAAAATTTTAGCTCTCTAACTTTAAAAACACCAAAGTTATACCATTTCCGATCAATCAGTTATATGGCAGCTATAGGATATAGTCGACCAATCCGGGCCGTTCCGACTTATATACTGCGTGCAAAGGAAAGAAGGAAAGTGTGCAAAGTTTCAAGGCGATAGCCTTAAAACTGAGAGACTAGTTTGCGTAGAAACAGACAGACGGACATGCTTATATCAACTCAGGAGGTGATCCTGATCAAGAATATATATACTTTGTAGGGTCGGAAATGTCTCCTTCACTGCGTTGCACACCTTTGACCAAAATTATAATACCCTCTGCAAGGGTATATATATAAAAATAAGAATATAGCTTAATAAATATTCTTACAAAAATAGTTATTTAACATGTTTTGAATTTAAAAAAATTCTTAAAATTTTTTTAAGTAAAAGTCAATCAAAAATAGTACAACATACAAGCTAATCAAATATATCTGATAACGATTAAAACAGCCATATTACTCAGACAAAAAACGTTTTCCTTTGAAATAAGTCTTGTTTTAAACTCTTGATGTAAACCGTTGACATAACCATAAACTATTAGTTCAATATATTGGTTAGGACTTGGTACGATTTTTTTTTAACTGAGGAACCAAATCTGCATTTGATGTATTCCAGACTCTTTAGAATTTTATCGAATTAGAATTAGACTCTTTAGAATAAAACTATTAAATGTTAGTTTAAAATCATCATTATATTTTACAATACTTGTGATAAAATAATCTAAAATAAAAGAAAGGGTGTAGGTGATGTTCCAATCCGCTAGCTTCAGATTCAGAAAACAATATATAAACAATGGTAGTCAGATTCAATTTGACTTTAGATAAATGTTTTTTGCTTCATATGTATTTATTATTAGACTATGATTATTGTTAAGTGACTATGAGTAGACTAAGTTTTAATCAAAAGAAACTAATTTTTTTCATTTGGCGTTGATGGAAATTTTTCGCCAACAAACCTTATGTTAGCCTGATACGTGACTCATAAGACTGATACCGCAAATGGGCTTCTATATGTACATATGTATAAAAATTGAATAAAAGCCAGAATTCTTAAGCGAGCTCAGCTGCCAGTTACCTTTTCGCGGCCGTGTCTAAACGGCTTTCCTACGTGCGTTGTGATTTTGCATCACCATCTGTATATGTATTTGTATCTGTGCCTGTATCTGTATCTTAAGCTGTGTAGGTAATGTATCTGCCGTTGGCGTTGGCTTGGCAAAAACTTGTTTGTCGAAAAATGGTAAACTTAGGTCGAGCAGAATTTTAACCACAAAGCCAGCAAAGCCTTCACTGGTGACTTGGCTTTTGCTTAAGTTGAGTTGGCTTTGTGTAGTCGCCAAACAGTAAATCCGGGGGATTCGTTTCAAGGCGATCGTCTGACAAATATGGCAAACATACGTAGGAGTCTCGACTTAATTGATCTGCGAAAATCGATACTGCCGAAGTTTGATTGTGGATTTGGATTGCTTATGCAAAGACGACTTTGGAAAATGCATCCATACCTGGATTCGGATGGATACATGCGCAATTATTTAATAAATTTGCAATACCCGTTTTATTTGAAATGTATTTATCAATAAACCTTACAGGGCAGATGACGACAGTTGTAATAGTCATTGGGTAGAGAGAGATCTGTTTTCATAGCCTTGGAGCTATTTTGTTCAGATGTCAGGTTTTTGCCAGATAGCCATTAATAATTTCTACAAAATATAACGTAAAAAAAAAAAAAAAAAAAATAAACAAAAATATTGATCCTCTTTTTATCAATTTATTTTTGTTAAGTTATAGGAAAGCTATTATATAGTTACAAATCAAATAACTTACACAGTTTTTAGCGAATATGAATAATAATATATATTTATTATACGGATAAACCGAATTTCTCGAATATTCTTTCTATTAAATATTATATTATATATATTCTTGATCAGGATCACCTCATGAGTTGATATGAGCATGTCCGTCTGTCCGTCTGTCTGTCCGTTTCTACGCGAACTAGTCTCTCAGTTTTGAAGCTATCGTCTTGAAACTTTGCACACACCCTTCATTCCTTTGCACGCAGTATATAAGTCGGAACGGATCGGCCAACTATATCCTATAGCTGCCATATAACTGATTGATCGGAAATGGTATAACTTTGATGTTTTTAGAGTAAGAAAGTCAAATTTTATATGAGAGCTACTTTTGATAAAATAATACGACATTCCAAATTTCATAAGGATCAGCCGACTATATCTTATAGCTGTCATACAACTGAACGATCGAAAATGACCCGATCGAAATGATAATACCTTTCAATTATAATTATGATTATCTATAGTTATGTTATGATAAAAAATTGTTTCTTTAATAAAATAGAGCAAAACAAACTTTTATTTTGTACTCATAACATTGTTCTCACAATTGTTTTATATACATCTATATATATGGCCAATAAACCAGCTGCAATGTCAGCAGAAAATCGATTTCGCAGGCCCAATGGATCAGTTTAACTCTGTTTGGTATTGCTATTACCTGAATAACGCAGTCGCACAGGTGAAACGGCAGCTGAACCATTTCAGCATTGATCACTTCCAACCTTAGGCAAAGCCAATGCAAACGTCTGTTTCTATAATTAAAACAATATAGGGAAAAGTAACAATATAGGGAAGAATTGGGACCCAACCCTCGTTATAGACAAAATATCTTAATATGTATATTAAGTTATGAAATCCTATTCCATGATGTCATGGTGCAATTTTTTTTGGTTTAGTTAAAGGGGCCTTTATGATTCTTTATTCGAATTTTCAGATTATCAAAAATAGTGAGTTGCATTAAGTGTTAAACAAATAACGTTAATAAATAAAAAGTAAAAATATCTACACATCTATTACAGCCCCCCACGTTGCGAAATGAACACGGACTCGAAGCTTTTTTTGGCCGGTAGTGGCCAGCGGGTCATGGTTTCCGGGTTCCTGCTGCTGATTTTCAGTGGCCTGGCGATGGGTCAGTCCAATTACGTGCAGCATGGTGACAGCGGCAACTATACCTCTAATGGCTTGCCAGAGGAGGCCACACTGGACGGCAAGGTAAAGCAAATCCATAAAGATGAAACGAGTATATAATGCAACGTACTTCATATGGATATTGTGGTCTTCCAGTATTCAATGGTTTTATCCTATTTTTTATTAAAAATTCACAAGTACTAGCATTAGAGAAGCTCAAAAGACAATCCCTGGTCATGCAATGCTTTTCTCTACGAAATAGGTAGCTATTCATGTCAAAATCTTGCTTTAGTTGCGTTTAAACAATACCGTGGGACACATTTTTTATGGGATTGTAACATCTCTGTGGCTCTGGGTAACAAAAAGCACGGAAAGCATTCGGAAGTGCACCCGTGAAGAAACCGAGTAGCTCAGATAATATGTTAATATACAAATGGCTGATGGGAACAAGATACAATGCCACAGTAGAAATATAAATGTGGGTGGGAATCTGGGAGCGCACGAGCAATAAGCAATTTGTTTCATGTCTTCATCCTTTTCAGGTGACCAAGCTAGACGACATCAGCCCTCTCATTTTCCTCAACCGCACCAAGGCCGCTCTCAACTGTGCCGCCGGCTCCATGCAGGTAAGTCACTTCTCCGTTCCGTCGACCACAACAATAACATACGGGTTTTCCCAGGTTGATCTGAAGTTCAACGATGCGTTTCATGGCATCATACAGGCTGACTACGATCGCAGCAGTGCTTGTCGAGTGAGCGGGAAAGGAGCCCTTAGCTATCGCCTCGAACTGCCGCTAAAAGGGTGCGGCACTATTCAGGTGAGTATCAATTTCCTCCATCATAGCATCCTGATCCATAATTCCAAGTTTCGTAGAACCCCACCCGTGTGTTTACAAACAATATTATCGTGCGCTTTCATGCAAACTTGGAGATGGACGGAGATGAAATTATAACGATCGTGTGCCGATACCCCCCGCCAGTGCCATCACTGCCACCAGCGCTCCCAGCGCCCATGTATGTGGTATTATCTTTAGGAATAGATCTATTGTTTTCACCCAAATCTCACCCACAGCCTTAATCCCATTGCCACCGGGTCGGTACTACAGCCTCCGCTTAAAAGTATCCAGATCCTGATGATCATCTGCGCCATTATGTTCCTTACATTGCTGCTTCTGGGTTTGGCTGTCTCCTACTACTGCCTGCGCACTCGACCCATTCCCATAGTGCGTCGCTTGCCCATGAGCATGGGAAGTGGTTCCGAAATCACCAAACTAAGCGGCAGCAGCTTCGGCAATATCAGCGCCTTCGAGGGCGTGAAAATTCCTCGCGCTCATGCTGCCTTGCAAGCGGTGTACAGCTCTTCTGGTAGCGAAGGGGCACTCATCCCGTCGGACTACCCCAGCGAGTCTCATTCGGAGATTGAAGAGATCGACACCCGTTCCCTGCCCTTTAGCTCAGCCGGTAGCTTCGAGAATCGTGCTTTTGTCCAGGAGACCTCCAGCATTTACAGCGACCACTATGCACCTGCCCAGGAAATGCCGGCTGCTAACGCTTTGATTACCACGACATCGACCACTCGGTATGCCGCACCAGTTCTGGAGGCAGTCGCCACTGCTTCGCCCAAATTCGATGTTCTGGTGCGTGTTAAAAAGTCGCCACCTCCACCCTCGCCAGTTACTTCGGATACGGAGAGCGTTGCAACCATGTTGCCGGATCGAAACAACCTGTCAACCATAATGGAGGCCTATGAGGATCGAGAGAGTGTTTTGACCATGGACTCACTGCCACCCCAAGTTGATTCAATGCACTCGCAGTTCTCATATGTGCCTGAATTGCACCCTGCTCCACAAGCACCTCCTTTGGTCGTCGCCGAACCTAAGTTCTCTGTTTACACACGCACACACCATGAAGTGGTCGACGGTCGTCCGGAGACTTGGTCGGACTTTACCGATGGTCCCGCACCCAGCGAGGTCACCAACATGTCTTCTGAGGCACCCGATGTGGCCATTGACCAGATGCACTACTACGAGGACGAGTACGTGCCTGCTGGTCCTGTAGCGGCACCAGTTACCTCTCACACCGTGGACGACGTCTACTTGCGAACGGTCACCGAGAAGAAGACAATTGAAGACATAGAGAGCCACAAGCGACGCGTGACTGAGTACAAGAACAAACCCAGGGCTCCTTTACCGCCCCCACCAGTGGACCCCAAATTCGATGTCCGTGTGAGGAAGTATCCTACTGAGCGCGAGCAGCAGCAATGGGAGAACTTTTCAGACATCTCCAGTGCCTCTGGAATGACCCTTACACCTAAAATGGAGCGCAGCGAGCTGACTGTGCCGGAAATGGAGCCTCCAGTTCAGATTTATGATAACAAAGTGAAACTGACTAGTCCAGAGCTGGTAGGTAACATGAAGCCGATCGAGGTGCCGCCACAAGACAAGGATGTACCCAACTGGGACGTTCTTATTCGCATATTAGAGGAGCCAGAGCTGGTAGAGGACACTGACGATGCTAGTTCAGTGCGGAACCTCAGCTACGATGACCGTGCGAAGTGGAAGGAGATCATCACAACCCAGTCGTCCTTGCGTACAATGCTCACAGAGGCGGTGGTTCGCGAGGACTTCGAACGCATTCGACAAGATACGCGATACGAGCGCATTTTCGAGCCGCAGACTTGGGACGTAATCATCCGCATTCTCGCCCCTCCCGGAGACGACGATCCCGATGTGGAAATGAGAGCTCCGCGGCGCGGCAAAAAGTCCCAGCCACAACCGTGGGACACGCGCTCCCGTCGAAGCTCTCTACCCACGCTCTACGAATACGACAGCGATGGCGGTTCCAGTGTGCGAACCATTCGAAACGACCCAAGTATGGGATTTACAGCCGGACCAGGCATCCAGGGAGCTTTCAATTTGCAGCGCTCGCGACGCAGCTCACGCACTTCTTACCAGACCGATCACAATGACTTCCGTTCTATGTCAGAGGTGACTGTGGATTTTGGCCGTCCGAATGTGGACCATCCGGACAACGTGAGCGATGCAAGCTCCTATTACCCCATGCCGTACTATGATGATGAGGACCGGCGCTCCTTCCACCGCTCGCTCAGCCACCCTTCTCTGGCACGTTCCGCCAGCGAGTTCACCGAGCACTGGACCGCCCCCGACGTCCTGGAGGTGTCCTCGCGTGAGGGCACTCCTCGTGCCCGCCGTGCTTTACAGGTATAGTCTCCTCACATATACTTTTAAGAGAAATATATTATATAGCCTTTTCTTTACAGGCACGTGCTCCTACGCAATTGGAAGTCACCTCGCCGAGGCAAGGAGAACATGTGCTCGCCCAGACTCAGATGAGGAGTGAGTATGTGGAGTCTCACCGAACCCTGTACCACGCCGAGAAGGAAATGCCCTTGCCTCCGCCCAAGTGGTAGGATCGCATAAGTTAACCCTCCACTAAACACAATTTTCCCGGATTGGTATAAATATATACTTTAGAATTTTTCGACATACCTGGTCCTGCCGTCAGCCCCAGCAGGAAGTTGAGATTTCTGCTGTGGCTGTCTGCTTTGTCTGGTATCGGGCATCTATCCCTAAATATCCCTAACATAACTTATAAATGTGCCAATTAAAATTGCCTGATATATTTTCATAGATAGGAATCGCAGTAGAAACTTCAGCGTCGGGATATTTATTAATTGGAGGGTCTTGGACTGGCTTATATTTTATTCCGCGCATATTTTTATCGGAGGGCTCTTGTCTTTTTGAATTCGCTTCTTCCATGCTTCACTGAGCTTTGGCTTGATATCGCATGTAACTAAGAATATGATAACACTTTTTAGATATTGAATTAGCGCGATTTGCAAATGGTATTGCATTCTTTTCCCGAAACTGTAATACATTTTGTTCTAAGCTAAATTTTACTGGCTTTCTTATTTTATCTGAATATATATAGCCGGTATATGCTGTTTAAAATTTGTGTTCCATACAGAAAAGGGCACCTAATTCACATGACTTTTGTAAAAAATATTCACATTTTTTGGCAAAAAGTATAATAATCCATTAAGCTGATTATACTATTTCTAAAACTATTAATATATTCTAGTTTTGTAATCTCAAATCTTCTTATTTGTAACCGCTGTTTAATTAAACCGCAATTTTCGTCCATATTAGAGGTTTGGGACAAATTTATTGATTTTATTTTCAAACTTAAGGTATTTTATCGAATGTCCACAAAGGGCATTCTAGTTTTAATTTATATATGCAAAGTATTATTTACATCAAATCCCAAGCGTTTCAATGCGAAAAAATAAACTGCCAGTTAGGTTTTGACGACAATGCGTGTATTAATTTTTTATAAAAAATAGACTCTAGAAGAAAAAAATTAACAGGTTTTAAATAAAATATTGTGGCAGATATATGAGCTACATAAGCTTGGGATGAATACTGGTATTAAATACGGAAGACGGATCGCTTATATAGGGGTTCTCAAAATGTTCTAATATTTTTTTTCGTAACATAGTACTAATCTGTCCAAAACATATATTACAAATGTACTTTATTTTTTATTCTAAGCGAAGAACTATAATAAAAAGCTAATATACCATGAAAAATTGTATACGTACGAAAACTGCAATTAATGTGGCTTTTTGGATAAAAAATCTTGGAAATAGATTTTCCAATCTTTTTGGAAAATAAAGGCAAAAGTCGAAGAGAAAACATTTTCTATCAGTCACTTTCTTTGCAGCTCTTTTGGCTTCCGCGAGATATTTTCTCAGGAACAGACACGAGCGTGGCCACCCACAAAAAGTGCACTGCACTGCCAGCTGTTGGTTAATGCAGCCCTGACAGTGTGAGGCAACGAAGATGGAAGTTTGTTTTTGGTCAAGTCAGGACCACTGCGCTACCAAAAGCGCCCTTATTTCCTTTTATTTCCTCATACAGGTAGAAACAGCTCACCAACCACGACGACTTCCAGGAAAACTTCCACTAAGCATCCCAAAAATCCTAGACCCCTAACCCCTTATACAAGTCCCGCACGGTAGCGGGAGCCTAGAATACTACCGGGACAAGCTCTGGTTTGTTGTAAGGGGCGACTGACAGGGCTGGGGGATATCTCTGCGGGAAAGCAGGGAAATAGCTAATTGCAACCTTTCTTTACAACCCGAAAGTCATCCCCTTCAAAAAAACAAGAAAGCGACACCTGAGGACAACTCCTGAGTTGGGCATTAAAATGAGCAATTTAACAACTCACAATTCAGATGGAGAGGCGGCTTTCGCGAAAAGCTGCGCAATAATAAGACCACCCAGCAGTAAGCTGCGCAGAGGAAAAAACTGCGCAGAGGAACCAAAGTTCGCGTTCTGTAGCAACGCCGGGTAGGAAGCGGGACACGTACATAGCTGGAAGTGGGAAATGTCCGATATTTTGGAGCGCCCTCTCACAAAGGAAAACTGATGATATGCATCCAGCTCAACCTTAACCATTGCGAGGCGGCACAGTCGCTGCTTAGGCAGGCGGTCAGAAACGAGCAGATACAGGAACCGTATACGAGTATGTCAGGAAACGGACGGCTGGCAAGTTGCTTTAAGGAAGCGGCTCTGTGGTCGACGGAGATGGCTCCTCAGGACATTAAGACATCCAGCGAAGGTTCCGTCCGGGCTAAAATAAATGGTGGAAAAAATAAATGACCTTCGTAAGCAGCGCACTAATAAGAAGGTGCAACTGGAAGGTCAGTGATGCTTTTACATTCAGCGACTACCATGCCATACACTTCACCCTTAGAGAGGTAAGTAGAAAACGGATTCCCAAGGTGACAGGACTAAAATGAAAGGACACGCGTTTGGATCGAGAAGCACTCTGGGCAACTCTTTAACGCTGGACTGGGCCTCATCATTCTCCCCGGAGGGAGCAGCGAAGTAACTTTCAGGATCATTAGCAGATGCCTGCGGCAGCGCTATGCCTAAGAGGAAGAGCAGCAGAAGAGGAGCGTCAGTATACTGGTGAATCCAGGATATCCATCATTCTGCATCAATAAATAGGCTATAAAACTATTTATTAACATTCCGAACTTAATGTGACAACGTGATCATTGTGTGTCATTGGAAATGATTCGCATTCCAAAATTGATGAGCTTAATCATAAGGTTCTGGATTTATAATCCCTTTTCGAAAGCGGATCAACCCTAATAGGCGCATTGTGGGACAAGCACCCAGTTGCGCTCAGCTTCAAGTGCTTCCCACCTTAAAATACCTTCATGTTGGTAAATTCGCGACGTCTACCCAACCAGATGCACTGTGCAAGTTTTTCGCAGATAAGCTGAACGTGGAGCCGAGTTATTTAGCCTGAGCTAGGCTGATCAAAAAAGATGCTGACATGAACATCCTCAAGTTCGTCAACTTTAAATTGGGAGATCCGGAGCAAAATTTCCCCACAGTCATCAATGATGGTTTTTGGCCTATGTCGGTAAAAGTCAGCCGGTTTGTCCATAGAGAGCCTTTTAAGTGTCTCCTGGTTCACTAGTGTCTGTGCTAGAACGTCGGACCCTACCGTAGAATTATTCAATTTACCATTAAGTCTACGTGATATGCACCACAAGCCGTTAGTAATTCCCATTGAGTTTTATAGTTTTGTGCATTCTGCTTCACCCATTCTATATTATTATCTGAATAATACTAACTTGTCACTTATTAATGCCTCTATTTCAGCCTTTGATTGGGTTTCCCGTTTTTCGGATGGCTCAATCGATGATTGTTATACTAAGTTCTTGGTTTCCCTTTTTAATATTATTGATATGTATGCCCCTGTGAGGGTACGAAGATCCTATAAGCTTCTCTGGTAAACAAAAAGTTTAAAAAACTTAAAGAATAGAAGAGATAAGCATTAAAAACGATTTAAAAAGGCAGGGGAGCCTCGAGCAGTAGAGCTGTACTGGCAATTTAAGCGGGAGTTTGAATTCCTTAATAAGTTTCTTTACAATCAGTATATATCCGATGTCGAAGCTAGTCTTCGATCCAATCCTAAAGCTTTTTGGCGGTTTGTTAACAGCAAAAAGTCAAAATCGGACATACCTTCATCCATATAGATAAAGAAAAGTGGCAAAACAAATCAAAAACGAGGAAACTAAGACGAATGAAGCAAGTTGACGAATATCAATAAGGATAATACTGGACAACAGGATGACCTACGGAGAGGACACGTGGAATACGCCACCATAAGAGCAGCAAGGATACAAGGAGCACTGTCACGGATGCTGCCAAATGTGGGAGGCCTAAACGTCGGTAGTCGGCTATACGTAGCGCCGATATGGGCTGCTTCAGCCAGAAGATAACAGAAGCTAGGGGTATCCTACCGACCTACCGAGGGGTGCCCTACGCGTCATTTCCGGCTTCAGAACAATATCGGAGTACCCCGCCCTCGGAATGATTTCAATCGATATTCTGGCTAATGAAGCGGATGAAATCTAAGCATCCAATCAACAACGGGAAAGAAACTCATCCCGGGAGGTCATCAAGAGTTTAGCCCGACATGTGGCATTATCCACCGCAGGTGAGGTGGGAGATAGACGGACGCACAGGCTAATCTTCAACATCCAGGATTGGATCGGAAGAAACAACTTTTCTGTAGGCCACGGGGGGTACAGAAAGTACCTTCACAGATTCGGTCATGATGAAAGTCCAGAGTGTCCCAACTTCCCAGGAGCAGACGAGGACGCAGAGCACATTTTATACAAATGTAGGAAATATCGTGCTAGCGTTGGATCACTACCGGCTCCGGAGGATCTTGTAAAATTGATGTGTAGCTCAAAAAAGCAATGGGACTGGGTAAGCCAGTTGATAGCTTATATACAGAAGAAGAAGACTTGAGAATGAACGCCGTTTAATGGAAAATGCCTAGATTAGGCAACCCTTTCCCGCGAAATAATGCTTTGCAGTGGTACCGTGGGGTCTGTAGGCTAGACATGCCGAAATATTTTAAATTACACTATCTGTAGTGTCATACAGTGTCATACAGGCGTGTCTCGGATCTCTCCGAACTTGTTTTACGTGGCGTGTTCCACACTGGAGGAATTACAACCACGGCACTCGAATATACCTACAAGAGGCATATAGTGCATGGGCACGGATGGTACGCCTGCCAGCGCCCCAGAAGAAGCTATAGCTATGTTTTAGGTGACTCCGACTGAAATATACCCTGTTTCTGTCTCAGTATATTTATTTTCAATGATTCGTCAAATACATTATATGTCTACAAAAAATTTTACTGCTAAAACGTAATCTTACTCGTAATCTAGCCAGAATATAACTATAATATAATTTCTTTCGTCATTTCGTCAATAACGAATACCCAAATACCCGGTAGCAATCCTGAAAAGTTAGAAAAATCAAAATTTGTTTGGTTCTAATCAAAATTACCAAGCAACAACTTTTGATCCTTTAAGGATATTGCCAATATTGTCCTATGTCCTTATAAAGGATCAAAATTTGTTGCTTGGTGAATTTTATTTTGAGCGAAAAAAATAAAAATCACGAATAATCACTATTTTTGAGTTTTATTTTTTTTGCTAAAGCTTAATGATTATTTGTGATTTTTATTTTTTTTGCTCAAAAATAATGTTCAACAGTAGAATAATAAATATAACAATTAAAAATCATCAAGGATATTCATAGTGCATCCTTAAAGGATAAAAACGTGCTAGTCATGCTTCTTCTATGTTGATTGGAAGTGATTGATTTATTCATTTAAAAATAGCGACAATAATCATTATTTACGGTCCCTGATTTTTACTAAACACCAAATACCAATTCCGATCATCCAGTTAAATGACAACTATAAGATATAGTCGGCCGATCCTCATGAAATTCGGTAGATCGGATCATCTAACCAAAAATTGAATCTGTACGCAGTTCTAACTTTCTACTCATCTACGCACTCCTGCAAAATCCGAACACCAAAGTTATGTCTTTTCCGATCATTCAGTTATATGGCAGCTATAAGATATAGTCGACCGATCCCAGCCGTTCCGACTTACATACTGCGTGCAAAGGAATGAAGGGTGCGAGAGACTAGCTTGTGTAGAAGCAGACAGACAGACGGACATCGCGCCTCCGCTACACCAAGGAAACACCGCGCATACGTGAGTTATATATTAATTAGTAATGCACCAAGTGAAATACAGCACTAGTTAGTATTTAAACTATATTTATTGGTGAATGATTCCACTTAGAGGTTGCCACAAAAAATTAAGTTAAAACTACACTTAAAATTTATGGTATTTTTTTTGGGTTTAGGATCTAAGTGCTAGGTGTGATCTGATTTCAGAGTGCAGAGTCTGGATTCAAGTGGTTAAGTGGTTCCTTGTTTATGGTTAAATTTCCGTATTGACTCTGCATGTTCGTAATTGGGTTTTATAATTTCCAGAAGTACGCTATTGTTTACATTAAATCATGAGATGTCCCATCTATGTACTTTATAATCTTTGGTTCTACCACACCAAGAACCAAATCTTTGGTTCTACCAAAGATTATAAAGTACATAGATGGGACATCTCATACAAAGAAAAATTTTCTATGGCGGGTTCCAGCAGTGGAACCCGCTGGAACGCGCGGGATCCATTACGCGACAAGTTAAGTTT